GTGACTTAAGACTACCAGGTACCTATTTCACCTAAACCAATCCAAATAAATGACTGGTCTTTTTCATGAGATAGATGTCGTTGACCCCTTTTGTAATGTCCTTTTTCTGAATTATGAGGTATTCTATGGATTACTATCCAGTGAAAAAGGCAATTATCTTATGCTAGAATTATTCTTGCTTCTTGTCACATGAGCACAAGCTAAATTTCAGATATCCTGATAATAGCCCTAATTATGGTCTTGTAAATTTTTCATGCTAAAGCCCATTGAGAGCTCTATGAGAGACATGACTTGGAATGTATTGCTGGAAAGTACTAATTTAAACATCTGGGAAACACTTGTTTCACATTAAGTGGTTTCTAAAGAGCTCTGTATACTGAAATTTATTGCAAATATAGTGTTCTAAAACCATCTATTTGCAATTGTGTTAATCTTCACTGATTTACCACTTCCAAAATTCACTTCCAGCATTATTGCACTGAAACCCAGGGGGAACTGAGCCCCCAGTTTACACTTACAGACATATTTTATCCTGTGCATTGCATTAAACCCTTTTTTTTTTCTTTGTCTTAGTAAAACCACCCCAAATTCCTTTAGTTTTCAGCTTTCTTAGAATCAGCAGCAGCGATGGGAGCCTGGGTGACATTTTTCTTGTTCCTCCTGGGCGAAGAGAATGACCTGGGCTAGGGCAAACATTCTGCAGATTGTAACACCCACCTGTGTGGCAGGTATTGCTGGCAGGACTTGGATTTCTACAGCCAGAAGGCCGAGTCTGGGGAAACAGGACTACCGGAGATGGGTTCTGTGTGACAGGTGGGCAGCAACATCTCTGTCAGTGGGCTTGCAAAATTATTGAGGGAGCCTTCAAGTCAGGTCCATCAGTGGTAGCATACACTGGAGAGGGCAACAGGGTTCTCTCCCATCCAAGGAAGTTGGACAACCAAGCACCTGCCTCGAGTGCCTGTATTCTAATGGATGCAGGTTGGAAAACCAACAGGAGAAACTAGATATCTCTGTGCAGCTGAAAAATTGGGATGCTGTGGGAATCAGAGACATGATAGGAGAGTTCATGTGAAGGAATTATTGCAATGCATGGATACAAGTGCTCCTTCACAGAAATGGCAAGGTGAGGGCTGGATTTTTGCTCTCTGTAAAGGAATGCACTGAGTGCTATGGACTAAGGTTTACATTTTTGAGAGCTTTCTAGTCAGGGTCACAGTGAGGGCTGCAAAGGCTATCTCGTGATCCGTGCCTATTGTAGGCCATCTCAAGGACAGGAGGTGGGTAAAGCCCCCTTCAGCTAGGGAGAAGCCATCACTTGATTGCAGGTCCTGGTTCTCCTGGAAAACTCGACAACCCCAGCATCTGAGAGGGCAAAGTGGAGAAGGGATGAGCAATCCATGAGATTTTTACGGACATTGAGGACAATTATTTTGACACAGGTGCTGTACAGGCTGAATACAGGAGATGCTCTCCTGGATCTGCTATTCACAAACAAGAGGGAGTTGGTCAGGGAATGACAGTCAAAGGCAGCAGCAGCTGACATAGCAGCGTTTAGGATCCTCCAGGAAAAGGTACAGTTCTTAATACCAGGGAAGCAGGGACTGCCATGGTAGGGATTTTTCTGACACAGCAGGTGACTCTCAAATAAACAAGCATTAATTTATGCTGCAGCTACTAAGTAATCCATCTGTTACTAACTAAAAATTAAGCATTAATCAAACATTAGTCAAGCCTTATTGGGCATATGATACCATGGGTCTGATGCTGAGCTGTTGGCTGCAATCGCTGCTATCTTCAGTTCTTGGTTCTTTATTTCTTGCAACAAAGAAAAGCAAACAGGTATTACAAAATATCTGCTACTTGGAATCAAGCAGTTCTGGGGTATATCTAGGTGCAAGCCAAACAAGATGTGTTTTACTAACCGGCCGTCACAGTCCAGAAGTGAGGAGGAGACAGAGTAGACTGAAGGCTCTAACTTTTCAGAAGCAGACTTTGGCCTCCTCAGTGGTTTAAATGTCAAGATATCTTGGGAGGCTGTTGTGAAGTGCAAAGGAGCCCAGGAGAGCTGACTGATCATTAGGGACAAACTAAAAGCAGAATAATGGTCCGACCTGAAATGCAAGGCAGGAGGATCTCAACAGGCTGGAGGAATGGCTGATAGGAAGATTGTAAAATCCAGCAAAGCCAAGTGCACAATCCTGCACTTGAGACATGATAGCTGCATAAATCAGTTCAGGCTGGAGACTGAAAAGTTAAATAGCAGCTGTGCAAAACGGGCTTGGTGGTTCTATGGGCAAGTTAAATAAATATGGGGCAGTAAATGGGACTTGCAGCGATGAAAGTGAACAGGCTGGGCTGCACTAGCAGGACAGTTACAGCCAGCAGATACAGGGGAATGATTACTTCTCTCCACCTGGAACTTGTGAGGCAACACCTGGAATTCTGTGCCACGTTTTGGGCCACCCAGTCTACGAGAGAGATTAACAACTTGGAGGGAGTACATAAACTTTATTTCTGTTGGAGTGGTAAGTCATAGGAACTGGAAGCAGAAGAAATTGCTTGGACCATCCCATAATATCTATTTTTACCTTGAAATTGAGTTAAATTTTATTTAGAAGTTGCAGTACAGGGTACAAATTAAGTTCATATGACCTGGAGCCAAAAATCTCTGCCATTTCCCTACACGAAGCATGTTCTCACTTTGACTTACTGACTAACTCAGGCACTTAAGTGACATGTTTAGCCTCAAGGTACTTGTGTGGCAGGTAGTTCTCAGCTCATGCAGACTGTGCTTCTCAGCAGTTGCTGTCCTCAGTAACCAGTTAATTGTGTTTTAGCCAGTTACTTTGCTAATTTTGCTTTATAGTTGGCTAGTAATAACAAATCTCATGACCTCAAGACTTACCAGAGTTCCTTGAAAACAACTTCAGCCTCCTTATATTTGATCTCTTACCTGATCCTCAAAAGAAACTACCATATACTTTCCAAACACAACTCTTAGAAGTAAAACCAATAGCTGAACTTGACACCAATACAGGGCTTAATACAATTTGTTTTATATCAGACCTTAATCTGCCTCCCTTCCCACAATTAACCTCTTCAAGTTCTAGTCTATAAGGTACACATTTCTAGCTTTTTCTTTAAAATACCTATGACATCACCTTTTTCATTCCATCTCCCCATTTCCTTTACCTGCAAAATTGCTTTCTAATCCAGAGGTTTCTGCTATTCTTACCTAGACACTAAACCCTAAATTTGTGTTTAGTTTTGAAGTTTAATGTTTCTGTTTTGAAGCACCTGAGTTAAAGGTTGCCTTGTATGCCTCAAAGCTTAGGAAGACTGTCACAGGGAGACAGAGGAAGATTTGAGAAATGGCTAGCACATAATTGGTAACAAACAGGAGAAATATAAACTGGAGCTCAGTTACGCCTACAGTCTAGAATAGGATGGAGATGAGTCTTCTGCGCCCTAAGCTGGTGATTCACCACTCTCTGTGTTGTGATATTTATTACAAATAAACACTTTTCTCACCAGTTCAGCTTCATAGGTACTAAGGATTGGAGGAACTGCTGATACGGTAAGACTAAAATATATCACTTTTTCCTACAGCCATATAAATTTCAGCATTACTCCATCTATTTTGATGACACTACTACAGTGTTACCATCACCAGGGCTATGGAGCACTAAAATGAAGTAGATGTGTATATTTGTTCCTGTTTCCTAAACTTATTCCCTTTATGCTCTTCTCTGCATCAGCAGAGACTCTAGAGTAACCCTGCTGCGTGGAAAAAGTCCATTTCAGGATCATGGTATTCAGCTCCTGGTAATAACTAGCTTTTTGCAGATAAGGCAAATGACAGCAGAGGTGATCACCAGGATTAAAGAGAAAAATATTCAAAGCTTCTGAGGTTGGTGTAGTAAGCCTCCCCCTCCTCTTTTACTTCTTTTTCCAGAGGTCCCAGCTACATAGGTAGAGATGGTATTGTCCTATGCACAACTGCTCATCTCTGCTGACCTTTAGCTTGTTTTACCCTGAGCACTTTTGGCAAGACTGTTGAGAAATAGAAGTTATCTTTCACAATGGCAGATTGGATCTGGCTATACCAAGAACCATTGTGTGGTCACAGGTTTTCAAAAAATACAAGCCCTTGAGAGTGAATGTCCTCCAAGGGACAGAAGAGCTCAAATAAAGGAGCTTGTGGGCTGAGCAACCTGATCTGGTGGTCATCTCTGCCCATGGCAGGGGGTTTGGAACTAGATGATCTTTAAGGTCCCTTCCAACCCAAACCATTCTATCATCCTGTGATAATATCGCCAGACTACAAGGAGAGGACTGCATATGGATGCTTGATTAAGTAAGAGATCAGTCTGAATAAGTTGTGGTTTTGCAGGCTCAAAAAATCCCCATCTCTCATCTTTGCCCATTGAGACCTTTCCTGCACAACCCTTATGTTTTGTGTTACAGGTGTTAGCAGGCGCTATGGTACGTGGCTGTCCACATTTTAGCCCAGGGCTGGATGCGCAGCCTGAAGGTGGAAACTCAGTCCTCTCTTGCGAGAAAATCAGGGTGAAAGCCGAGGGAGCAGATTAGGAAGCTTGAAACGGAGAGAGCAGCGGTGCTGCCCGTGCCAGCTGCCTGCTCCGGCGGGCACGAGTCATCTCTGAGGCCCGGTAAACAGGGGAAGTCCCCACCTTCCTCCCGAGGGTGGAGGAAAGAGGACGACGCAGGTGGTCTCGCCGAGCCGTGTGTCCCCCCCTTGTCCTCCCCGAGCCCACAGCGCGCCGCCTCTCTTCGCTTCCCCTTCACGCATGAAGGGCTCTGACGTTCCCCCGGGGCTGGCGCTGCCCCGCGGCGCAAAGTACGGGGGTGGTGCCGGGGCGGTGCCGGGGCTGCCCCGGCCCGGCCCCTCTCCCCCGGCAGCACCGCACGGCCGCCCCGAGCCCTCGGAGCTCCGGCGGGCGGGCACGACCTCTCTCCCCGCCCCTGGGAAGGGGCGGCCCCGCCGTCCGCCCGCCCGCCCGCCCGCCCTATAACTCCCCGTTGTCCGGGCGGGCGGGAGGTAGCGGTTCCTGCGGCGAGGGATGGAGGCGGCACCGGCGCGACGGCCGCGCTCCCTCAGCAGAGCCTTGGCCGGGGAGCGCCCCGCGGGATGCGGCTGCCCCCCGGCCCCCTCCGCCAAGGCCGAGGCGCGGGTGCTGGTCATCAACACGGGCGGCACCATCGGCATGGTACAGGACGCCAAGGGTGAGGGGCCGGGCGGCGGGGAGCGTGTGGGGGGAGCGGGGCTGGGCTGGGCTGGGCTGTGACCGTGGGGACACCCGGCGCGGTGCAGCATCCCAGGGTTCTTGTCACTGTGCCAGAAGGGTGCGAGCCTTCCTCTAATCCCCTGCTCCCCTCAGCTGGTTAATTCCGCAGCTCAGTTGACGGGCATCCTTGTAACCTCACAGCTAAGCTGGAGCAGGTTTTGGCAGGGGACAACGCGTTTCCTGCAGCGTGAGTCCTTTCTGCCCTCCTTCGCGCACTGAAAATGAAACCAACCTGATCGTACTAGTCATGCAGTCTGTTTTTAGGCTTAAATGAGCCACTGTCCCTGGCCACCCAGAGAGCATGTGCCTGGCATTCCTGCTGGGAAGAGCGTGGGCCGCTGGAGCTGGTGCCCGTGACAGGGATTTTCCGGTGGTGACCTGGCAGCTGATGCGAGCGTGGCAGCGAACATGCTGCCAAGTGTCAGGACGAGCGGGATCAGATGCAGCGTCAGTGTTCACCTGCCTTGGGGCAGGTTTCTGCTGCTCTCCCACCAGCTGTTGGCTTCTTTCAGGAAATCATTGAAGAGTTTTGCCTTACCCTACCAAGGGAGGGGGAGACTTACCTTGATGAGAGGGTAGATATGCCAAACCCCCTCCCACCAGCTGAAACATGTTTAAATCCAAAACTGAACTCTGAGATATATCAGTATACTGACTGCATTTTATCTGAAGGCTTCTTGGTTACCTACCTGTATATGCCATGTGTTTTCAGGTGCCCCTAAATGTCAGCAAATAGGTGCCCAAAATTCACCTGATACCTGCCCAGGCCCGCAGTCCAGAAGCTGGTTGGAGTGGTACCTAAGCACCACTAGACCCTCACTCAGTAGGCACAGGTCCTAAGGGATGACAGAAGCATCAAATAACAAATGTGTCCAGGGAAAAGAATGGATTTCAGTCAAGTCTGACTTGCTGTAGGGCTGTGCATTTGCCAGCATTGTTTTAAAGGAAAACAGTGAAATGTAAGGTGTGGGAGTGAGAGGGAATCAGTCCAATTTTGATGAATATCTATTTAGTTTCTTCCCTCCTTCACTTGGAAAGCAGTGGAGCATCCCAGGCCTTCCAGAGCCTGTGTCTATCTGGATTCAGAAGTGTAGGTACTTGTGATCCCTACTACAGAGTTGCCTGAAGTACGGTCTCTGCTGCTCATCTGTAGAATGAGTACACTCAGTGCTTCATCTTGGAGCTTCCTAGACTTGATTTTTTTATTCTAACATGTCCTTTCTTCTCAGAAGATGGTGATTGGCTGCTTCTTATTATTGTAGGGAAGATGCTTTAAAGTGTTTTTCTGCCTTTTTTTTTTTTTATAGCTGTCATCTTTGTGTTTAATCTATCATAGTGGTAAAAAAAAGTCCATATTTCAAATGATGTGGTGACTTTCCTTTCTCAGTTTGCATTGTGTATGCTAAAATAATTTCCTGCTTTTATTGCCTCAGCTTCCCAAATGACTCTTTAAGCAAACAAATTACAATCACATGTCTCATTCTTTTATAAATGAACTTTATAACTTCCTCTCATCTTGTATGTCTTTTTTTTTTTTTTTTTACTTTTGCTTAACAAGTGTCAATCATTAAAGCAAGTGCAAACAATCTTAACAGTTATGATTCAATGATGCTGACTTGCTGTATCCTGGTGACGGTTTCGACCTGCTTTTCATACACAGATCTAGCTGCAGAGCAGCCACAGTACCTCTTTCAGAATATTTGGCAGTCTTTAGTGTTCAGAGGCTGGTGAAAGGGCATGGGAAAGACAGCATGCTTTAACAGAAAAAAACCCAAACTATAGATGCTCATTTCTTTTATTAACCTGTGGATGGAAAATGCCTGTTTACAATCCTACCTAGAGCTACAAGTGTTTTATTGGAAGCAGTGTGAACAGAATTAGCTTCCTCGAGCTGCACAAAGCCTTTTGTAGCAGCAACTGCTACCAGTCAAGGGATTCAGCTAGGTTTCTACCTAACTAATGTTTGTCTAGGATTACAAGGTTTTCTGTGGCCTTTCCAGTTGCTGAGAGAAGATGGATTACTCTTTAAAATCAGACAGGTTTGATAGGCCTAATATGTTCTGCAAGGAATATGTTTCTGTACAGAACTGCCCCCATATACAAGACCGATAGAATCACATTCCTTGGGCTCATTGTACATGTGTGGAGCAGTCATTTATCAACATGATATCTGATTATAAACCTCCTGCAGAGTTTCTGCAGTTGACCTGTACACATCTGGCAACTCCAGCATGCCTTGAACCAGTTGGACTTTCTACACACTTACAGGTTACCTGCTCAGGAGTAATTTTCAGAGGATGAATAGTTAGTTTGAGTTGGATGACAACCAGACTTAGGAGCAGACAGTCTCAGTATTCATGATTTTGCTGTCAAGCCACTTCATCATCATCATCATCATCATGGCTGGGCTTCGCGAACGAAGATTTGGGAAGGGCTCTACCCATGTTTGTTGCAAGTGCGTTGGTGGCTAAAAAGGCCAATACGAGATAGACGCGTCCGGTTGCATCAAGCCACTTCAGTGCATTTTTAAAATGTCTTCCTCCTACTTATTTCCTCCTACAGCAGTTTCTTTTGGCTTATCAGGAGTGCATTTCAAAAAGACAATCTTCCTGCACTCCATGGTGAGGTTATTGTGATACTGATCTTTCCATCAAGTTTGTGCTCATGCTTCTCCTGGCTGGTGCCTTCAGGAAGATCTTTTCCTTGGGTGTGTGGTTTGGATCTCTTTCCTGGCTTTTACCTGAAATACTAAGGAAAAAAACACCCAACAAATCCAAGTAGAACTAAGCTAAATACCCTTAGAAAGATTACTTATCTTGAAATAGAGTCTGCCTAGGTAACAGTTATTTGTCTGTCTCTTCTAGACGTACTAGATTGCCAAAGGACTGGCTGCTGTAGTCCAAATCTTTTCCTGTTAGAAATCTACATACCTCATTTCTGAAAGCTCCAAGGACTACACCTGCTGAAATTAATATTTTGAACAATGCTTTCTGCTTCTCTGCCTTTGCAAGATGTAGTTTTTAATTTTGGGATGTGGCACCATAGATGTACATGCCATTTGTATTGATGTTACACAGGTCAAAACTGGCTTAGCAATGTCCTTTGCGTTCCTCAGTGTGGTGAGTTTGTTAGGATTGGGGGATAACTTCAGCATGCTGATGTACAGGATGGTCCTTCTCCCCAAGCACCTGTGGCTTCTTGGGTGCAGAGTCCCACTGCATCAGAGTTTTTCAGCTCCCTGTTCTCTGCAGCAGCACAGGTTGTAGGATGTCTCGTTTGGCAGGTGGCTATAACTGTGTTATCTATAGCACCAGGGTGAAAAGCAGAGGCCTCAACTGTCGGTAGGACAGAACTATGATTGTTCTCCTTGGCCACAGGTGCTTGTTTGCTGTTCTGCCTTTGCCTGCCTGCTTTGTGATGCCCGGGCTGGCCAGCTAAAGAGGGAAAGGACAGAAGCTGATGAGAGCTCTTTGGACAAGTCGCACAGCCTGCCTCTTCTCTGCAGGGGTGAAGTTGCTTCAAATACTTGGTTAACAAGCTTGGCTCACAAAAGTTGTTTTCCATGCATAATAAAGTAGAAGTGTTCTTAAAACAGTTGCACTTGAGTTCCCCCATGTTTGCTTCTCTGCTGTAAAGCAGAGAGCACTGCTAGATGTGGATGCACGTAGGGGACTGCAGAGGTTGTAAGTGGGTCATCTTGGATACATCTGCAGAACATCTTAAAAAAAAAAAGTTTACGTTCAGTGCAAGCAATTAGAGAAAAATCCTGACAGATCAGTGATTAAGAGATGAGAAGCTGCCTTTTATGGAGAAGGGATTAAAGAAAAGTAATGTGCATCAGCTCTCCAGTTCCTGTGGCAAATACAAAAAATAAACAGTCTAATCCATTGTCAGTATTCAGAGCAAGATAACACTGGACAAGCAGAAGAATAATCAGAAAACACCCAGGAAACACTTGAAACTGGGCTGCATTTCTGAGCCAAAATGACTCTATGCCCAAGTGCAGCAGAAGTGGCCGTTTGTGACTAAGCTAGGAACATCTTTAATAGGAAAAGCAGGGATTATAGCTGAATGAATGAGACACCCAAAGCTTGAAAGTGTGTTAAGTATATTTTGTAAAACAGAGAATTCTGGCAGGAATCCAAACAAATCCACTCAAATGCTGTTGCTGTCCTGTGAGGAAGTTGGCTATGAAGAGGCCTGCTACTTCATTTAAGGCAAGCCAGGAGGGAGATTAGGGAGTTCTTAAAGATTTTTCCATCAGCTTGTAAGGTAAGCGGAAAAAGATAAAAATACTATTGAAAATAATCTCTGTGTTTTGGAGTACTTAAAATAAACTTTGCTGTTTGAAGGTGAGGCAAAAAAAATACAGATGCTAACTTGGATGAGAGTTATGTTTAAAGAAACTGAACTAGGAAGTAGGAGGGAATTGCCTGGCTTCAAATTAGAAATAAGTAGAACTACCAGAAGTAGAATAATGAGGTTTGACAGTTTGTTCCCCATCTGAACAGGTAGTATGAAACACATTCACTGAGATTAAACTGAACTTGACAGTAACACCAATAGAATCTTGAAGTCCAGAAGGGAGTATCTCTGATAAAAGTTCCTTGAACGAAAAACATCCCAAAAAGTCACACTGCAGAAAAACAGTGTCTTCTGATTCTGGATTCCAGGACTGTCACTGTTATTCCTGAAAGAGGGTATTGGGGGATGCAGGTTAGATTCACAAGTGAACTCAGTTCTATGATGCTGAGGATTGTAACGTCAAAAAATCAGGTGCCTTTCTGGCTGATTTAGAATGGTGTACAGGCACCCTTTGAAATACCTGGTTGCAGCCAGGACACCTGCAGGGTCCACCAAGCACTAACTGTATTCTTAGGCTAGTTTAAGTCGCAGCTGTTTTAGGGCCCCTGCCACAGAGGGGCAGAGCCCAGTCACAGGAGGGGAGAGGGTGAGCAGAGCTTGAGATGCATCCACGCTTTCAGCTTTTTCTATTCAGCAGTTTATGCACCTTTTCTACGTCTTGTCAGTTCAGATGTTCAGTCCTAAACCTGCTAGTGGAAAGTATTTAGTATGTATCACAACTTGATAGTACAAAACAATGCTCAGTGCTTTGTAAGTCTTTTACCACTAAGAAGTAATAGTAATAGCAATAATAGCTATGGCATATGTAAAAGAGAATAGTAGCTTTCTGCTACAGTTGCAAAAATTGGCTTCCTGTCCCTGTTGCTGATCAGTATTTTCAGACAAGCAGCAATTAAAAATAGGGAAAGTATAAATATTTGATATGGAGGAGATTTGAAACATTATTTTTCTTAAATAAAGGATTTATTTCAAGTCAAGAGAAGGATAACTGCATGGATATTTATTAGTTATGTCCAATTTTCACGTTTTTAAACTGGCAGTAGACTATTTAAATTTAATTTGGAAGGATGGGCAAACTGCTATGTAACTTCTTCCCTCCTTACTGTGCCATTTGCTTCCTTCCATCCCTGCTCCTTTATTTACTTCCCTTATTCTTTATTTTTAAGGACTTGCTCCTGAGGCCAATAAACTAGTAAACAGCTTGGAAAAAATGCCAATGCTGCATGATAAGGCATATGCCCAGGAAACAAAACTGAACAACTCCCATGAATTTCCAGAGAACACATTGGTGCTCCCGTAAGTATAATTTCCTTGGGGAGAGGGAGGGTTAGGAAGTATTGTGTTAATTTTCAGATAATCACATGTCCAGATATTTAACATGAAGAATCCATGATGAGATTAGCAAAAATGCTTATATTGGCTTAAAAGGAAAAAGTCTACCATGTCTGACATGATAGAAAATACGTGTTTTGGTATATTTGCAATGAAATGCCTTAGAACTGCCTGAGAAGTAACTTTTAAGTTAGGCAGCAATTAACCATTCTGGACAGCTTAGTTCTGCATTTTTTCCCTTGTTTTTCATATTAATTTGCTGCTGTGCAAACATATAAATATTCTACAGAAACTAAGAAAGCTACATGTAGCTCCATGTGAATTATCTTCAGCATATGTCTGAAAAAGTAGCATGTAATTAATGCATCTGTGAATAGGCCTCATGCTTTAATTCTGCAGGCCTTCTGTTTTTAAAAGCCCTAAAAGGTGATTGTTTTTCCCAAATTTATGCAACGTTATGATAATAAGCGATAGGCTTATAATTAATCTGCATTTCTTCTTAACTGTTGGACAATGATTAAGAAGCTTATAGGTTTTATTTAGAGGGCAGTATGCTAATTTGAAATATTCCCCAGCTGTGATGAATGACTGTACCCCTGTAAACATGTTAGCTTTGCACAAAGGATGATTTTACGCAGTCATTCAAAACTAAATGGGACTGTAGCTGGTTTGCTATAAGAGTAAAAATGAATATTCATTAATCTTTAAAGAGAAAACCAGGATATTCAAAGAAAATGTAAGGTTTAATAATTTCTTTCTACTTTGTATTGAGGTCTCTATGTAAAGCTTTTAAAAGTAACCACTTAAAAGGCAGATAGCAGGAAAAGTAGTAAAGGGCAAACTAATGGACTCCTGGTGCAGTAGTATTTATAGGAATGTATAGTTTGTGTTAAATACGATGCTTACACTAAGAAAAATAGGGCTCTCTGATGATTCTGTGCTTGAATAACTTTTAAATCCTTTAAGGGATTATAAACAAAACAAAACTGCACTAGTATACCAATTTGAGTCCTAAATGTACTTCTCTTGGCACATCTTTTCCATGAAGAACAGAAAAGCTTAAAACAATCATTCACATCAAAAACCTGAGGTTTAAAAACCAATCTTGTCTTGTTTTTCTGGCACTGCTGAGTGCTGTTTCTGGAGGTTGGTCATGGCAATTTGCCATTTTGTCTTTTGTGTTAGCCAAGTGATATTTTAACTAGATGGTTGAGAAATATTGTGAGTTCCTGAAGGGAGAAAATAGGAGTATTTTGTGAACTTTGTATATCTGTGTGTAACATTGATGTAAGAGGAATTATATGTTCTCTTTTTGGTGAGAGGCATCAGAAGTTGTAGGCAAGTCTGGTTTCTCTGTTGATATGTTGTGTTTTATTTAGAGAGTGCATTCTCAGGGGAGCTTCCTTTACAATCTGACTTCCAGTTTTACTCTTAGCATGTGTAAATGTAATATCCAGCAAGGCAATTTTTCATGTGAAGTCTAACTTCTTAGGTACAGTATGTCGGTTTAAACACATTGTTTAAATGCTCTCTCTGCTCTGTGTAACAATCTTACAGGCTTCATAAGGGGAGTGGGTCTGCAGAATTTATTAGAAGCCTCAGATGATTGGAAAAAGGGAAATATTGTACCCATCTTTAAAAAGGGTAGAAAGGAGGACCCTGGGAACTACTGACCTGTCAGCACCACGTCTGTGCCTGGGTGAGAGACTGGAGAGGGATGGATTCAACAGGTGGACTGTTCAGTGGATGAGGAGTTGATTGGATGGTTACATCCAGAGGGTAGTGGTCATGGTTCAGAGTCCCAGTGGACATCAGTGACAAGTGGTGTCTCTCAGGGGTCCATATTGGGATCACTGTTATTTAATATCTTCTTTAATGTCACAGATGAAGCAACTGAGTGCACCCTCCACAAATTCGCAGGTGACACCAAGCTGGGTGGTGCTGTTGGCACACCTGAAGGATGGGATGCCATCCAGAGGATCCTGGACAGGCTTAAGAATGGGGCCCGTGGGAAGCTCATGAGGTTTAACAAGACCAAGTACAGGGTGGTGCACCTGGGTCAGGGCAACGCCCAGTATCAACACAGGCTGGGGGATGAACAGATTGAGAGCAGCCCTGCTGAGAAGGACTTGTGGGTGTTGGTGGATGAGAGGCTGGACATGAGCCAGCTGTGTGTGCTCACAGCCCAGGAAACCAATTGTATCCTTGGCTGAATCAAAAGCAGTGTGGGCAGCAGGGCCAGGGAGGGGATTCTGCCCCTCTACTCTGCTCTGGCCCCACTGGGAGCACTGCATCCAGCTCTGGGGTTCTCAGCACAGGAAGGACATTGAGCTGTTGGAGCAAGCCCAGAGGAGGGACACTAAGATGATGAGAGGGATGGAGCAGCTCTGCCATGAGGAAAGGATGAGAGAATTGGGTTTGTTCAGCTTGGAGAAGAGAATGCTTTGGGTGGTGTAATTCTGGCCTTCCAGTACCTGAAGGGAGCTTGCAAGAAAGATGGAGAGAGACTTTTTACAAGAATATGCAGCATGTTGGCGGCAACATTTGGAAATAGAAACATATTCCAGCTCATCTAAGAATGAGTGAACATGGTGGATATTCTTTCATCTTCTAAGCTTCAGAAAGGTAGCAGAAAATATTAGTACTAGGGTTCTTTTATTACCCAAATCTAAACTGCCAAATTGAATTTATACATAGTTGACTTTATTCTGAGAGGTTAGAAAGTTAATGTGGAGAAATCAGCATTTCCTGTGGGGTGTAACACATGCTCTATGTGCAGTCCATTTGGATGCCAAATCAAAGGTCTTTGAAGAGTTAGATTTCTTGATACAGGCAGGTGGAGGAAGGGAGAGCTGTGGTCCTTGAAGGCAGGAGAGCAGACAGCATGCTTAGAGCTAAGACAATCCCCTGTGATTCCATAGCCACCATTGCCTTTGATAAGTCACCTCCAAATTTGGGATTGCATACTTTTGTAAGATATTTGAGTATCTAAACACTTTTTAATCCTTGGTCTCTGTCTGCTGGGCTACACATTGCATGATGTTTGAAATTGTCGCATTCCTCAGCCCCACAGGTACTTTATCCTCTTGCCTGACTGGTTTTGGTTTGGTTTGGAATTTTTTTCCCTTGCGTAGTTGCTGAGGCTTGTTTTTATTATAGTTGGAGCAGTCATTTCCTGGCTGTCAAGGGTGCACTTGTTCAGCGGCCAGTAATTGATCGCCAGTGAGTTGTTTATGGTCTTGAGGTCTCTGTTTTCAGCCTATGCCAGTATTTTAAGATCTTTGATATTATCACATCCTTAAACTCCACATAAGAAGGCATAGCTGGCACCACAGAGCAGAGTTCCTTAACAAGGTGACAACAGGTCTAATAGTCTGGGAGTGGGCTTTTACAAAGTTAGCCTATTACTAGCAAAGGCAACAGTTCATCTGAAGAACCAAGAGAGTTTTATTCTGAAATCTGAGGTCAGAAAAAATTAATGGATCTTCTAAAAGCTACAAAATTTAATCTTTGTCATAAAACACTTAAGATACCCTTTGTGTCAGGAAAGAGTATCTGTTTATAGAGTATCTATTTATGTTTATCAAAGGACGAGAAATTTGTTGCAACTCTTCTCTTGCGTCCCCCCTATGAACATCAGGAGCTTTATAGATTCCTCTAAATATCTTATGAAGCATTTTTAAACCTTAAGGCTTCGTATTAACTTCTGTTACAAGTCAGTAACAAACTTAAACAGTGTAAGTCTGGGTTCTTCTTTTCTGACTTTAGTTTTGACAACTCCTCTCTGCCTTCTAAATTTTATTTATTATTAAATTAAATTTAAGTGTTTGTGCTTTAAACCACATCAAGCCATGAACTTCTAAACTTGGAATTTAATTTCCAAATTTAAGACCTTTTTTTCACCTAGATTTGGACAATGGGGAGGAAAAGGGTAAAATCTGATTCAAAGAAAAAATCAGAAGTGACGAGATGATATTCTAAGAATTTTTTTTTCCAATTCTCTTTCTTCACAGTGTCTCCAAGCAAAACAAAAGAATCTTTTACACAATCCTTGAGCTATCACCACTACTTGACTCTTCCAACATGACACCAGAAGACTGGGCCAAAATTGCAAAGAAACTTGAGGTACTATAGTGTGGGATAAGAATTCATTTGTCACTTAAAGCCAGCAGTATATCCAGTATGCTGAGCAAGATAATTCAGTAGTGTGATATGTATATATGTTTCTTTAAATGTAAATGTTAAGTACCTTACTTAGTTGCTTGCAAGGTTTGCTGAATTTTTTTTTTCTTTTGAAAATTTTGCAAATTCCTTGAAGTTATATAGTTCTTCCAATGATAAGCCATGCCATAATTCCACACAATAAAATAAGAGAAAAATTGCAACCATAATTGAATAAGGTATGTAATATGTAGGTCGATGTGTTTTAAAATATTGACTCGAATTCACTGTCAAAAAATGTTGAATAAAATCCTTAAGTGTAGGTAACTTAATTGAGGGTTTCTTAGTTACACATCATTTGAATGTTCAAATAGCTTAATAGTTGGCTACGGACATAGAAAATAAATTCATATCTTCATGCCTTTCTTCCACTGGACACATATGGACTTGAGTAGCTTTGACTTTGCAACCAGTAGAAAAAATGTTAGGTTTTTCCACAGTGAGACGTGTTTAAAGCCCTATATATTTCTGCATATATGGTTAAATTCATGACAACCTTCTCCGGATTAAAAAAATCAGCATTTCTCTGCTCCTGTCCCCGTGTCTGAACTTAGCTGTGTGCTTTTAAGAAAGCAGAAATGCAAAACACTTCAAATGCTTCACACTAGGAGTTCATAAATAGCTGTTAGAAATAACTAACTATGGGACTAGGAAGATACTGCTCCTCCCCTCCTGCTCTCTCTGCGATAGTGGGGCTTTATAGTGTAAATTCCCTTCTTTGACCACACAGTAGCAATGAACGTGAACAGTTTAATAATGTGGGGAATGATGCTGAAGATCCAGGTAACAGTCTTTCACCTTTAGGCTCTCTAATCCTGAAACCACCAAACTAGGGAGGTTGCTTCTCCTATCAAATGCATCTTACCAGGGAAAAGAAGAGGTGTAGCTGGTGTGTAAGTGGAAAGCCTCTAGGATGGAGCAGGGGTGCAGCTGGGAAAAGCCCAGGGCCAAGAGAAGGAGACAGGAGAAAATTTGCCTTTCTTCCTTACTGGCATATTAGTTTTTATTAAAAAAAATTAAGTGTTTATTTCTTGTACACCGATTGCAGCTTCTCTTTTATGTAGAAATGTCCAGTTCATGTAGTCCACGTTAAAAGTGCTCAGAGGCAAAAAAAAAAAAAAGAAACCAACTCTCCAGCTTGTGCACAGACACTGCCACTTTGTGTTCACCTTGGACATGTGCTTGGCACAGTTGTAACATGCTGATGACTTTCCACACTGAAATATTCCAAGATGTTTCTGTGGGATGTCTCCTTAATTGCCAGTCTGATCTTTTACATTACAAAGCTTAAACCAAACTATGTTCTTTTGCATCTAATAAGGTTCATAAGGCTGAAAACATTGGTGAGCATACTGATTTAGAGAGGACAAGTGGCTATTCCTGTGATCTTGGTCCTTCTGGAAACCTACTAACCTTGTTACTGTGTTGGTGAATAGCTGCACTGTGCTTTTTGCATCAGGCTAATTTAGTCTACTGAAAGATCTTGCAACACTGGCAGTTGTTCTGTTGGCTCAGTTGTTAGAGATAAGCAGAAATCCCCTGAAATTTCCAGCAGGTAGCAACAGGTAGACATGAGTATCAGTGAAGGAATAGCAAAAGGACAAGTAGAAACCTACAGGGGAGTGTGGAGGTGACCTTATTATCAGGACATGCCAAGGGTGTGTGCCTACTGAGACATAAGAAGTGTAAATAAAAGAAAAACTTGTTTAATTCTATATTTAATCCTTTTTTCCCTCCACACTGGCCCTGCATATATCTGCTTAAGAGTGCTATGTAGTCCTTTCCATGTTACCAAATTACATCAGTCTCTCACTACAGCATTTATTATGTCCATCACTCTTAAATTAGAGGAACCAATTCCTTTTTCCTCTAAAAGCCAGCAGATGACTTTATTCTAATAGGATGAGCTGTGTGATTCATGGGTTTGCATTAAAAAAACTCCTGTGTGGAATTGTATGTAGATTAAAACTATTATAAAAGTCATTTTTACATCTGCATGTGCTTTATAGTCTAAAGGGACTTCTCAAAAACCAGCAAGTGAACGCACATTAATGAATAAGAAGCCTCTTCACTGCTTTCTGCTATGGAAAGGATGACTTTCCATCAGAAGAGGGCACTCTGACACTGGCAGTTTGCCTGTCTGCCACTCAGATTAAATGGACTGTTTTTATCTGTATGTTATGATAGCCTTGGTTTGCCTAATCTGTTCCTGTAAATGGTGTAATCCCTAAAGTAAAAGCGGCAACAAGAAATCAGACTATACGACTAATTTGCATGTGTTAACATTCCTGTTTAAAACCATTGCTAAGCTTTTCCTAATTAGCAGTCTTCTGGTTTAAAAATGCTGCATTAATATGTATACATGGAAGAATCTCTTTGACTGTTCCATAATTAGAATTACTGGCTCTGGTGCTTAGTGACCTATTCACCCTTAATTTTATTTAATCTGGAAATAAGGTAACTTTAGGAGGAATTATGTGTGCAGGACCCTTCCAAGTATTATACTGTTGCCTGCATCAGTGAAATTAATGTACTATGTACCTCACTTGCTGGTGCCAGTGCATTGCTCTAACAGTGTGAAAACTGTCTCTCCATTTCCAGGAGCACTATGAAAAGTACGATGGTTTTGTGATCCTTCATGGTACTGATACTATGGCATATACAGCTTCAGCCTTATCCTTCATGTGTGAGAACCTGGGTAAAACTGTTGTTCTGACAGGATCTCAGGTAATGGAATTAATTTGTAGTTGAAGCAGGAAGCCTCATTTTTGGTTTTTATATGCAAAACTTGTTTGTATCCTGATTATCACTGTATAGCTTAGTAGTGCAGGGCAGGCCCCGGGCCAGGGTGAATGGTCACAGTGCTGATAGAAATCAGTGAGAACTGGCGGGCTCACCAGCTGAGGATCTGCCCCATAATTTTATCATTAATGACTTTACAACTCTGTACTGAGTCAGACCAGTAGTTCATTATGTCTGGGGCCAGATGCTTCAGAGAAAGATATAAGAGCCTGTCTTTGGCCATTGTGTATTAATCGGTTTATATGAGAAGCATCTCTCCAGCCTCAGGTGGCCGCTGGTTGTTAGCTGTTTTTTTTCCTTTCAAAGCCCTGAAGCTTATTGCTTTTACTTCATCAGTTGTTATCCTGACTTATGTTGCTCATTGTTGCATTTTGATATTTTTTTTTTTAAATAAACTCTATGCAGTAGATGCATTTTTGATCATTTCTATTCCAAAAGCATCTAATATGGTCTGTTTCCTTTCCTCTGAAGACTACATTTATTAATTTTCATTCTCTTAGCTGGAGATCAGCCCTTTGCATATTGTCTGAGGGGGAGGGATTGTCTTACTAGAATAGCTTGCTTGAGTATAAAATACAGCTCTAATCACAAAGGAGAGATGAAACATCGCACTGTAAAATTCCCCTCCCCAGTCTCAGAACTTCCCTTTCACATGTGGTCTATTTGAAGTCAAAATACAAAAGTCTAGGAAGGAGTAGGCTCCCACTTACTTTCTTGACGTGGGGCAGTCTGGTCGTGATACATCACAGTCAAGGTTTTGCTTTCTTTTTGGCTGTATTTCTTGGAGATCTGCCTGACATATGATCTAGCAAGGGAGCATGTGATTTCTTTTTTTTATTGCTGAAAGGAGCTCTGACTCTCTCTTAATAAAGAGGCAATCTGAAAAGGCATGGAAGTCATCACTCAGCAGACCAAATTTCTGTTTTTAATCTTGCCCTTTTCTGTCAGTAATAACCTACTGGCTCAGTTTTTCTATACTGTGAGGAAAGATGGTGCAAGAGAGCTGTTGTGGAGCCCATAGTGACAGATCTGCATGATCTGGGGCTGTTAGTTTTTCTCTGTATCATCACTTCTCCCATGTTCAGTCACTTTAACTATGACTTCTTTCTAGTTTTTATATTTTTCCTGAACCAGTCTTAATATGCTTAATCACACCAGAATCATCTCTATATCAGTTTTTAAGCTCTTAAATTATAAAAGTCTGTTAAGCACAGGGAGAAATCTTACCATCTGTTGCAGTCTAAAATAGTTTGGATGAAGAAAACTTTTTTTGTAATAAATCATTGTTACATAAATTATTCATATATTTGTATTGCATAAGTTGGACTCATTTTTTCTGCTGTGTAGGCTTTACATAAGGACCAGGGTGTAATTTCAGTCTCTGCTCTTCAGGTGCCCATATACGAGTTGCAGAATGACGGCCGAGACAACCTTCTGGGGGCATTGCTGATGGCTGGGCAGTTCGTGATTCCTGAGGTTTGTTTGCCTGTGAAGACCATCTCAGCAGCTTAATTTCTCCCTCTAGCCAGGACACATACTTATATACACAAAATATCCGGTAGGCAGTAAGGAATTGCACTTAAACAGGAAGATGAATGTATTCCACTGAGGTAACAATCCTTGCATGGCAAAGCAGCTGCTGTTTTTGCATTGGTCATATCCCATTTGCTCATGTACAATCTGTAGAGACTATGAAGTCTGAAATGATACATTGCAAGAGGCTTGAAATCGGAAGTTCTCTTGCACATATGTGGGGTCTGAAACACTTCTAAGTCAGTTTTTTAACTGAACGTTACTTTGAAATTCTGTAGTTGCTCTAGTACTGGTATGTCTTTCAGCTCTAGTTCCTGAAGACTGAAATGTCGAGAGCGATGCTTCTAGTGGACATGGAAGTACTTCCATAGTCTCAGCACCCTGCCTTTAAAGATGTGTGTGCTGTGCAGCCAAAAAATCAGAGAGAAAAATGGTCAGGTTTCACCTCATTTCACGTCTGCCATGCTCCCAAAGCCAGTTCTTGTAAGACAACAACAATAGCTGACTGGCCCAGATCTTAAGAACTGATAACAGCTTTGAGGTATCTCTTTTCCTTCAAGTTCCAATGGACAAACTTTAGGAGGTTTGAGAAGGAACGTAATTATTTATGTGTGGTAACTCTTTTGAAAATTATCCTCATTTTCACTAGGCCTTTTGTTATGTTTTGGACTCTGAATTTATATATAACTCATGAATGTATTAAAAAGTCCACTGTTTCTTTCCTCTATCTCTGAAGTAGACTCAGGCAAATTTTCTGTCTCCTAGACTATGTCTCATGAGAGGATTATGAAACTAGTTAACTCTTAACTTGTTTTGTTCTTAAATTCTTAAACCAATGTGTGACAGATGTGCCAACTCTTTTTGAAAGGGTTAGACTTGTAAACATCTACTAGCCTCTGAGTTGCTTTAAACATTTAGAAAACACTTTATAAAGGACGGACTACAGTATTTATCTACAGCATCTTTTAATTACTGGCTTATTCATAGACCTGTTTCTTTACTTGTCTTGCAGGTGTGCCTGTATTTTTATAATAAACTGTACAGGGGAAATAGGGTGACTAAGGTGGATGCTGGGAGTTTCAATGCCTTTTCCTCACCTAACCTGCCTCCACTTGCAAATGCTGAGGTTGATATTACAAGTAAGCAACATCATCTCTTAAGCCATGTAATTTATGCCACATGCAATAGAACTGAAAAGAATCTATGCCTATGTAGTTGAAATGTCATTTTTAATCTCAAAAATATCTTTGAAAGCTCTGTAGCTTGACTCCATCTGCTCTGAACCTGTTTAAATACTAGTACAACTGAGATTTTGTGACTCAGCTGCATTTATGTATTGAGTATAGATGTGAGCTAGACTGACTTTGACTGAAGATCCAGACTAACCAGAGGGAACATTGCCCCTGTGTCATGAAAATGCTTGGTCTAAAGATAAAAATGAGGGAGTGAGGACTGAAAGAACAAAGAGTTTAATCTCATTAGTGACCATGCTGGGCTCTGAAATCAAGCAAAGAAGTCGTTGCAGAGTACTTGCAGCTTCAGCAGATTCTGTTTGATGCATGTCAATGTGTAAGATGTTTTACTGGATATTTGGGACCTGTCTGAACTGCAAGCGCACTGAAAACAGCAGACCTAAAATATGCATTGTATGAAGTTTTTTTCCCCCCAAACTTTCTCAGGTTCCCTGTAATTTCTGTGTGTCAGTTTCTTAAGGAAGGGAAAAACTATCTGAAGGTTTCAGTACCCGTTTGCAAAGTCTTTAACACATTGATGTCTGGTCTTGGATAAATGGCACCCTTTCTTTGGAGAGGGGAGAAGAGAGACACATTTGGAATCTAGCCAAATGAGGAGCTGCCAAAAAATATGCTAAAGCACAGTTTTGAAAAGTATAACATGTTATTGGGTAGACTGTGTATTAAATAGGAGCAGGACTTGATCAAAATCTCCATTATTACAAAAAAAGGGGAACAGGAGGGTGTTCCTCAATTCTTTTGCTAGGTGCTGTTAGTGACAGTAGGAGTTCTAGCCCTGTGCCATGCAATGTGCCTTTATGATGGTTTCTACTACTAGAGAACAGCATTCTGCAATTTGGAATATAAACTTATCCCTTCCACTTAATGAGTGGGAGTTACTTAACCAAGTTCCAGGATCAGAGTGCTGTGATTGGAGCAGCCAGATGCAAACTGAGGAAGCCTGTGTAATACTGTAGTTGCCTGTAAGACATCTCTCAGGTAGAGAGTCTGCCACTGTTGTGTTACTGTGCTGTGTCAAACAGGATGTATCTGAAATCAACAGAAATGCTGCCAGTTGATTGCTGCAGTAACTTGGGGGAATCTTATTTCTTGGGTTTGTATTAACTGCATCAAATAATGTATAAATAAATTCTTTTTACTGACTGATCAATAATGAAATCAAGCTGCAAATTGCGTGCTATTTCTCCCTTGGATTTGAACGAACTGTTTTGTGATTCCTTGTCCAGAGTAGAAAAATGAGAAAGTTATTAAGCACTTCCCCTGGCCCATATTGAGTCCCATTACGTCTTCAGTAAATGCCTCATTGGTATCAATGGGGATTTCTGATTTAAAAACTGATGGTGTGATAGGCTCTATTTTTATTTGCTTCAGTTGATTACCCAGTTGGAGTAACATCATTTATCCAAGATGACGGTGTCACTATTGAAGGATTGTTTCATTTTGAAAGAACATAGTTTATAGTATGTGCAGTCTACTAGTGCTGCTTTATTTTGTCCAAAGTAATTGTTTGAAACATCGCCGTCTCCCTTTAGTTTGCTTGTACAGTCCTCGTATGAAGCTTTCATGGAGACAAGGAACCACTTGGTCTTTTAAAAACAAACCAAACAAATCTATCATCTTTCTACTTTTTTTTTCCCAAATGACTGTATATAATATGTCTTAATCCTCCTGTAGACAGGGCTGACTCTTGCTGATTCAGCGTTATGGAGAGCAGCCTGAGGATGTCAGGAAAAGTAGGCCACTTGCAGAAACTCTTCCTCAGGCTTCTCAGTTCTAACAAAGCTGGGAATGAAAATTCCAGAGGAGCAGAAGGGGAGAAGTGGCAGGATGGAGGAAGTGGGAACCGTAATGGGATCATGGGTTGGTTGGTACACAGGAATGAGGAGAAATGCTGTTCATGGCTGGGCATAGCATATAAAAGCAACAATCTACTTCAGAGGTAGAGATGAAAGGGAGAAGCTTAGTCCTCTTCCCTCCCTTACCCTTGCAGCTCTCTTCATTTTTGATATCCATTTTCCACACTGTTCCCTCTCTAGGTGAGGCTCCTAGTGGATTTCTAATCCCATAACTGGCTGCATTCTTGGCCATATCCTTAGCTATGTTACCAACACCTAAGAGTCCCATCGCCCAGCTTTAGACGAACAAGTGTGTCAGCTTCCTCAAGACTTTCAGCTTAGCACAAGAAACTCCTGTAAGAAGTGAAAAACGCTAGCCCAGTCTCGAGTTTAGTAAGAAACCCAATGCTGATGGGAAACACTTTTGCGGCAGAATCAGAAATCACAGAATCGCAGAAACATTTCCAGTGTGGTACATATAGAAATAACCAAAAATATTTCTAAAATCTCAAAGCCAATCAAATAAAAGACCTTACCTTATTTCTCCCATATTTTGAAAACTGGGGAGACAAGGAGGACTCTTCCACTTGAAATGTGTAAAGATTCTCAGTATATTTCGTAACTGATTACTCTCCTCTATTCTTGACTGTCCTAATGAAGCACACATGAAACTTGCTTTGTTGCTGTGGCTGGACTTTCTTCATCACAGATGCATGTAACTTCTGGGAGTGGTGCACATGTACAGGACAATATGATGAGAAACAACTTGTGCAGGGGACAAGCAGCCCGTGTGACTGTGTGCAGATGTGGTACAGCAGCAGAAGGTTAGAAGGCCCTTTTGGGCTCATCTACCCATCAGTCTCATTAGAGAAAAGCTATTAGTTACTGGCCAAGTCTGCATCTTGGTTGGCAGTTCTGGTTATTTATATAAATATATAAATATATAAATTTATATATTTATATAAGTATATAAATTTATATATTTATATAAGTATATAAATTATATATATTATATAAAAAGCCCGGGTCATTTACGTATTAAGGTAAATGCCACCTCTCTTCACTGGAGTGCTTTCAGTCCCTGTCCCCTCTCTGTTCTGAGTGTATTGATTGTTGCAACGGCACCAGTCCATAAATGTGTGTCGATTTTTTTTTTTTTTTTTTTTTTTAACAAACTGCCAAAAAAAGGGGGTGTATGCTTGTTTGCCTCCTTCAGGAATTTGCAGCCATAGGTTGACCTGTGCTCCCCACCCCTTGGCTGCACCATGAATCGTAATGTGTGCTGGGGCAGCTTATATAATGGTAGGGCTCACCAGTAGTCCTGCAGAGAAGGATGAGAAGAAAGCGCTGCTGTTTGTCTGGAGCTCTGCAATCGAGAAAAGCTGTATTTCTTGTTTGATTTCATAACTCGGAATTCAGTCACCACTCCTAAGGGAGGTGTCGCTCTGAGTTGCTGCTCTCCCATTATAAAAGTTGAAACCTGCATTGTGGCATAGGCACCCTTTAACAACTGGGGGGGTTTGCTGCTTTCTGATCCGTGTAGAACTGCTTCTCTTTTTTATTTTATTTATAAGTCAGCTTGATGTTTTTTTCTGCACTAATCCTCTCACCGTATTTCTCTGTGCGTGTGTACGATAATAAAGCTGCATAAGATAAGGATGTGATTTTTTGACTCTAATTTTAAAGGCTATAGTTTTTGGTAGGTAGAGGGAGACTGGAAAACCTATTTTTATGTGATGGTTTGGAAGAGTAAACAAAAGGCCTTAACATCTTGAATGCAGTCTCCTTGAATAATGCAATCTATCCCAAGCCATTTTGGATACAGTATATAAATAGCCATTACATCTTTATTTTATGTACGTTGCTTTAAAAAACTTACTTTCTGCTTTGCCATACCAGTAGCTAGCTTACCTTTGTTCCTCAGCTTTGCATCCATATTTGCATAATGCAGTACACTGTATCACTTAAACTCTTTACAAGCACAGGCCATCCAAGTCAGAACAGGTTGCTGTTTTCTGTGCTATGCTAAAACTGAGTATCCCTAATTAGTCACTCATCCATAGGAAAAAAAACTGTTATGAACACCAATAAAGACAGCTTTTTGTACTTCACTTGCTTGTATATGACTTTCTTAAAATTGTTAAAATTCTTAAAATTGTTAAGGATTCTTACTTTTTTTATTTTTAATTTAACAAAAAAAGGAGATTGCTGTGTCATATGACTATAGGCTGCAAGACATCTGGTTTTTTCAGTACAGTGGAGATGCTTGAACTTAACTGTGTGACATAAATATTTTTCCTTTTAGGGGATGTAATTTTTGAGATTCAGGATGCAAAGGGTGTGTTCTAAATTTTTTTTTCCCCTGCATGGTGCTCTGCCTCACTGTATTCAACAGAGTTGAATAAATCTGAGGTGAAGTCGGGCTTTTATGTATATTTGTTTGTCTTTGGCTCTTGCATCACATTTGCTTTTTGTTCTGCCTTTTAGACTTATTTGGCTAATGGAAAACTGACATCTGTGGAGTCTGCAGCACCAAACACATTATGTAGGCTGACGAGGTTCATGACCAAGCGAATGTTAACTCAGAGGCAATCTTTAATTTTTTTTTTTTTAAATACAGTTTGGAATTACATCACTATACTATGTCTGCATGCATTAAATTTATCTTGGAGATGATATATTATTTGGTAGAGTGTACTCCAAGAGTACAGGTATAGGCCTGGTATAGGTCTGACTTCTGAACCTATCCTCTGATCTCTTTCCTTGGTCTTCTGCTTTTGGCAGTATCTTAGTGATCCATGCCAAGGCAGGTTTACTCAGTTCATTCTTCAAGTTCATTACAGGCATTAGGGATGCTGACAGTTGCCAAACGTAGTAGTATGCATTTGTGAAGTTTTGGCAGGGACTCCTACCTTATGGAGGATAAAAGAAAGCAAGCTGTGATACAATTTTATTGCCATCCCTTCTTGTAGAGGAGGCTGCTTTTAAAGAATTAACTTTTGTGTTAGAAAGTTGAGAGGAATGAATTTATTGCATGATGCTGCTGCCTCTTAACATGATTAACCGGACCTATGAAGCTCATGCAGCACAAATGCATGGCTTCTGCACTTACCCCTGTACCTCCTGCAGGTCTCTAACTCGCTCTGGAAAGCTCATGGAGGCCTTTGAGAGCTACTTGGCTAAATACTAAGTCCAGCCAGCTAGTTTCAGAATTGTGCTGGACAGCTTAGCACAAAGAAAGACACTGTAGAAATGGTCTATACTTGTGTTCTCCCAATCCCAGGGCATTTGGAATCCATGTGCTGCAGTGTGACTGGTTGGACAAACATGATGCCAAGCCAACTGCTTGTGACCTGTTTAACGACGTATGGCAGTTTTTAGAAAGAACAGAGGCTTTAATTGCTGACAGGGCACCACAACAGGAAAGGGAAGTTCATAAAATCTTATAGGAGACTGCTATTTTCTGTCCTGACTTAATGGATTGTGTAGTTTTTAGTATCTCTGGTAAGAGGGCAATAGAGTAGGCTTCAATGGAGGCTTTTAAATGTACTCTGAAGTTTTTTTTGCAAGTGGCTGTCTGCTGATTGCAAGTAATTGGTGTGAGTAACTCTGCATGGCTGAGAGCAAGTCAGTATTATGCACGCAGATCTTTTATCTGTCTTGCTGCTTGGGAGTTTCTCCAAAATCTAAAAAGCTTAACTCACGATGGGGAAACAGCAGCTTTACAGCATAGTCTATTTTCTTTGAAGCACAACGCTCTGAGCTGTTGGCTGCTGTTTGTTAAACCTCTTCCACTGCCTTGTAGGAGCCGTCAGCGCTACCAATGCTGTGTTCCTACACTGAAGTAGTAAAATTTTGAAATCAATAATGCATGACTTGGCTTCTAATAATGCAACACAAACAAACTATTAGTTAAACAGCTGGCTTCTGGCTCTAAATGTATAATCAGAGTTAATTGAATCCTTGCTATTTTATTTAATCGTTAGTAACTACCTAATAAACTCTGGAGGTGATTAGGAGCAACAGTAACTGCATTTGTCATCTCTCATGTCTGAGAAGATGAAGCTCTGTTTTCTGAACATGAATCCAGGCTGATATCAGGCCAGCTACATAACTGGAGTTCAGGTCAGTGTATGACAAGTAAATGTCTCACCTGTGCTAGACTGGCATGATGTTCTGTTGGTTGAGGCTTTCTGAGCACCCTGAACTGGGAGAGGTGGCACTAACAGGATGTGTTCAGCATCAAGAAGCCATCAGGTTTAGCGCTCATATGCTTTTCACAGCAAGCAGACTTCTCTTTTGAAGAGATTGTAGTAGAGGTATACAGCTTTGTGTCTGATAGACCATCTTGTTCACTAATGGTCATTGCCTAAAATATCAATTTTAGAAGTCTTTGCTATGAAATGCAATGAATCGAAGCAAGCATACATCTTAAATATCTCCTTGAAGGACACTAGCTTGTGAATATTGACTAGTAATACTGATATAGCTTGGAATCCAGACTATTTTGGAATTAGAGTTAAAATATAAAACAGTTGAGCCTGACTTGAATGTGGTCTTAAGGATATATTTTGTGGCACCTAATAAATAAGGTGTGTTAGATCAGCTGCTATTTCTGCTGTCTTAAATGGGCCTTCATTTCCTCTTTAATAAATACATTGTCTTTCATGAATCCCCTACATAAGAACGGTTTTAAAAACAAAGTTGCAATCATGAAGTACTACAAAGTGTACTTGATAGTACGTGTTAATATTAAATTAAAAAGGCCGTTTCTCTTCATAGTAAACTGGGAAACAGTGTGGAGAGCCAATACCACAAAGAAATTTCGAGTTCACACCAATATGAACAGGAATGTTGGACTTCTGAGAATCTTCCCAGGAATCACGGCTGCTGCTGTAAGTGTCACCACTTCACTTTGGAAGTGGGTGAAGTGATGCTTCAATACTTGATTAGTTACCTGAAGTAGGAAAGCTGCATTGTTTGTAGCAGTGATTGGGATTTTGGAGGGAAAGGAAAGGATCTGTCTTCTTCTGATAAATGCTATTTTGAAATATCAAGTCATTAAAAGACTATTTTTATATGCCATAAACTATTGATAAAAGCTTTTCAAATATCTTTTGTATAGCTACCTGGGCTTTGAAACTTAAAATTAATTTCTTATCAGGGCTCATAAATAGGTCAGGTGTTGTTTTGTAGTCAGGTGTAGGCTACAATGACCAGGAAAATGCTCTCTTCCTGCATATTGAGGCATATTAGCAGATATCTTGTCAAAGAATACAATATATGGTGGGTGGAGTGTGATTATTTCTACAACTCATGCTTCTTTTTTAGGGTTCATTTTGTCTCACACTGGTGGTTACCATGACCCTCAGCATTCACAGAGAGCTGAAAATGAGAAGTGGGATTTTTTTTTGCCTTTAGAAACTCTTTTGCAGTTTGTGATTTTAGGTAGATTAGTCTTTAAATTTTTGTCTAATATTAGTTCCATTAAATTGACGGGTCTTTTGTGGCTCTTGCCATCTTAAATTGAATTCAGTAGTTTAAGCAGCACTCCTCAATTATATCACCATTCTTTTTAGGTGAATGTGAACAGATGGAAAGACAGAGGGGTGGTATATTTGCAATAAAACTCCAACTGCATAGTTAGCCTCATGGGGGTTTACAGTGTATTGCATTTAGCATATGTGATCAGCAAGGAAACATCTAGGTTGTTTAAAATACGTCTTTCTAGGAAGAGGACTTTGGTAGGCATTCTCTTACAGTGAGGCAAACAAACTCAGTATCAACTGGCCCAGAATATATATTAGTGTCTCTTTTTTTTTTTTTCCTCTTTGAGTTAAATCAATTGGGTTTTGGGTTAAAAAACTCCAGGCTTCATTAGAATGTTCTTTCCTGAAAGGTGAAATAGTCTCTCTCTTAGGCAGACGTTGGTTAACAAAACTCTTTGCTAAAGCAAAAAAATCTGGGCAGGGATGGGGAGTTGTAATCTCAATTGATAATTCTGCATTTATTTTACGAGTGTAAATCCACATTTTTATTCTACCAAATGGTGCAACAGTATAGCCTGTTAATGGCCCTTGAACAATAGCATCCTTTTTCACACTCAGGTAATAACTCTAGGAATTTTAAAGGAAGCTAGAGAGGGAAGTTCTCATTTTTTTAAAACTTATTCTGCAGTCTCAGTTATTGCAAATGGGGAGCACAGAAGGGCATAAGAAGACTATAAGGCTTGAGAGCCTTTAAAACTATAGCAGGAATAGACCATTTTTAAAAATGCGGTGCCATACATGAAAATTTTAAGGTGACTTAAACATACCTTTTGTCTCTTTCCTCTGTCTTGTTTTTAAACAGGTTAAAGCATTCCTTCAGCCTCCAATTGAAGGCATTGTACTTGAAACTTATGGAAGTGGCAATGCCCCAAACAACAGAGAGGACGTGCTGGAAGAACTGAAGAAAGCAGCTGAACGAAAAGTAGTGATTCTGAACTGTACCCAGTGCTTACGAGGGTCTGTTAAAACCGTCTATGCAACAGGGCAGGTGAGGGTTGTGCAATGAAAGAAACATCCCACTGATACAACTTGATTGCAAACTGCTAGTAGTCCCAGTGTATAAAACCAGGTTTAGTGACTGTAAAGTGATTGCTCATAAAATAACTACATCTGAAAAAATCTTAATCCAGAGGCATTTAAATGCGTATCTACCAACAAGATCCTGTTACTCCTGGTCTTAATGGCGGAAATAGTCAGCTCAGTTCTCAAATGAATGATTGCTCACTCCTGTCATGTACAGCACTCCAGGATACTTTGCATTAGATTGGTAGTATCTCAGAGGGATTCCACTGAGCTAAAAGCTGGTTTAGGGATCAGATGTTCAAATAAAGTAGCTCTTGATAGGATAACAGTTCCTTAGGTACAATGTGGGAGCATCAAGAAAGCCTGCAGATGCAAGCGCTATTCCAAACCCAGTTCTTTATTTGACTGGAAGTACAACCGAATTCAGTGCAAGATTGGAGAAAAGTATGTAAGGAAGTGTCTGTCTTGAAGAATGGAAATCAGTTTAGTTAAACCCATGAGGGCTGGTTTAAAGCAGGCTTTGTGTACATACTGTTCAGGGCATTTTATAGTGAGTTTCTCAATTGTGTATTAAAACATGACAGCACTGTGGCTATTAAGAGCTCAAAGCCATATAAGAATATGCGTTGCATGTGGTAGTGTGAAGGAAGCTGGTTTAGCTGGCCTTTAGAAAAAGACCAGCCATTAAATAGCCAAGAAGCTCTACCAGAGGGTGATTCATCCTGCTGCTTTAGACACCTGGCTTTGTTGGGAGCAACCACCTGTCTGGCAGAGCCAACCTCTTCACTGACTGCACGGCAAACCTGAATACCCTAGTCTGGTGCTGAAACCTGTCTCTTTTAACTTTGCTTTTGACACAGCTTTAGATTATATTTGCACGTAGTCTGTTTTGAGGAGAAAGAAAAAGAGATTGCAAGAGGGTTTTTTTCACCTCCTTGGTATCCAAACTTGGTATTTTCTGATATAGGCAGTTATTGTTTGTAAAACTTTTGTGTAACTTAATGGAGATGTTTTGAAAATCATTGACTTTTGCTCTGTAGCAAATACTATAGGAATATGTGGATTAGATGGAAAAATTCACATGGAAGTTAAGTCAATAAAAACAAAATTTATATTTGAAAAACAACATGAACATGAAGCCTAGCTTTTATGCTATCTTCTGCTTGAAATAAGCTGCTAAAATATATAGAAGGAAGAAAAAAAGCCTTTTCTATGCTCTGGTTAAAAGATTGTCCAAATAGACACCTCTAAAATGGCTTTGTGCACTCTGATCCAGACTGTTGATATGCTGAATTGAAAGATTCTGCTCAAGTCTTACTGAACCACTGTAAGGCTGTGTGGAAATGTGTTCCCTTCTGGATTCCACTTTTTATATGGAGTATGTTCTATATTGCTTCAGCATCAGTTGATGGAGGCCGCCCTGTTTCCTTGGTATCTTTTGAGGAGAAACTGACTGAGTCCTACAAAATTACTGCATGCTTGTTCTTTCATTGCCTTCTCCATTTCATGAGGAACCGCTCAGTGGAGAAACTATTATGGGTGAATGCTCTAAAGTTGCTGTAGTGTTAACTTTACTTTGATTTTTCTTTAAATGAAATATTTCAAAGGTCTGCACATGGCTGGGCCAGTTTTCACTCATACAAGCCAGCCAGGTAGGTCAGCTGAATCCCTGGTTTCCCTTGAAGTGTTTGTTTTAATTAACTCAGTGTCTGGCCTCTGATCCCTCTACACAGTACAAACTTATAACTGAGGGGACTTTAGGTATAGGAAGGAAGCTGGGAAATCCCTTCCTCCTCCTCTTTCTCAGACCTGCTGAAAAAGCCCTAACTGTTCTTTGATTAGTTCTGCAGTACAGAAAGTATTTCTCACCTTCTCTGTATGTTTTCCCATGGGACTAAAAATATGTTAGTCTGGGTCTCTCAGAGGTGGTTAATGAGCTAATTAAGGCTCTGTATCTTGCTTAAAATATTAGTTAAGCCACAACAAATTTTGAAGCTTAAGTTTATATACAAGAGACTTAACAGTAAAATGCAGTGCAAGAACCTAGTTCAAGATGCTTAACTGTGAGGCATCACATTTTGGCAAAGAGAATGATCTAAGATTTGCCAGGTACAGTTCAGTGACAAGAGATCTGAAATTTCTTTTGTCTTTGCTGTTTTGTACACTTATGAGGCTTGCTGATCACAGCAAAGATCCTTCTTTTTGCTTTTGTTCAGATTGGATTTTTTTAACTACCAGAAAGATAAGTTACAAAGGTCATCTTTTTTCAGTTGTTCTTGTCAGAACTGTGTAAATTACGTATTTTAGTTGCATCTTCTAAATCGTACACTGCTCACGCAGCCTGAAAGGATCTGAAAGCACTCCTGCTGTGAGCACACAGTAGTGCTGGAATTCATCCAAAGCAATGCCCCATTAAAGAATGGTAAATATGTCTGTGTGAGAACAGCCTACTTGGCAGTGTTCAAAATGCCACTGGGTTAAAACAGAGTAACTGCAGCTTTTCAATAAAGGGAATCTGACAACTCTGCAGATAGCTGATACGGACCTGTAACCTTTCCCTTTTAGCATAGCAAGCGACCGTGGCAAGCATTTGGTGGAATTCTTCAGTGTTACTGCATGAAAAGGAATTTAAAGTAAAAGTCATCTTTATTCAGCTTGCTCTAGTATTTGCTTGGTATTTGATAACTAAAATTACAAAAATTACAGTGGCAGTTGGAGGAGCAAGAGAGTGGAGGCTCAGCTGCATACTGTGTTCTGTGTAGCTGCTCATCATTTATATGCCTTTTCTGTACACACAGGTATTTCTGAGTGCTATGCTAATTGGAATCATTATTCCTTTTTATTCAGACTCTCGCTGATGTTGGAGTAATTCCTGGAGGTGATATGACACCAGAGGCAGCCCTAACTAAACTGTCATACACGCTCAGCAAGAGAAACCTTAGCTGGGAGGAGAAGAGGCAGGTAAATATTTGTGTGACCTTGAAAGACTTTAGGTTTCTCATCTACTGTGCTAACTTCTGCTTAGCTTCATGCCTTGAGCTTCTCTCTTGCATTTAAAAGCAATTGTTTACAGAACCATAATTGGAACACCCCGTGTGTTTTTTTTCCTTACAGAAAATACTATTAGACAAATAAAGATTTGTAGATTTGGAGAGAAAAAAATTCTCTGCATAAGGCAGGTGAAGACCATGACCGAGCCATAAGAATGCCATTAAATGATAGTAGTCTAGCTTGGATATTTTCTGTACTGAAAACTCTATGTGGAAATTCATATGGGAGACAGAATCTCATCCCTTCTGAAGTCAGCAAAGATCTCGTCACTGATCTTAGTGTGGTAAAGATTTCATCCCAGACTCATTCACACACAGCTATTTCTGAAAATAAATATTGCCTACAGCCTCTTCCTTTACAGCATTAGTCATAAGAGTATTAGATTTTATTTCTCTAAGAGGAGATATGCTTTATAATACATAAAAAGTAGAGGATTATTATAAGGACCAGCTGCTTTTAAAATCAGAACCCCTTTAACAATGTTCTTTCTGTTCACTGGTTGCTTAATCAAGGCTTTTTTCTGCAATTATACAACTATTTATCATGTTCTTTTTATACAAGGAACATCAGCTATGAATTAGATAAGGAAGCAGCAGTCTGCAGGAATGCCTGAGTTTCCATGCTTGTATGCAGTGAAATCATAATCCTGACACTTTGGGAGCTGACATTATGATGAGTCACTCTCCAGACTTAACACTGCATGCACATGTGTATCTCCCCATGGTGCTTTGTTTTTATTGAAACTGAAACAAATTTGATCATTATTTCATGCTCCATATCTTCCAGCCAGTAGCAACTGTTTAGACAAACATATTTGTATACCTGTGATCATAAGTGTGGTGGCTGGAAGTACCACCTACCGTGCTTAGAAACAGTTTCAGCCTTGGAGCTTTCAACTGTTCGCTAAAGCCCTGGCTCTGAAAAATGGGAGGAGTTATATGTGTCTTCAGTGAGGATGTCAGGAACATACCCTGTGCAAGAACATGCTTGGCAGGCGAGACAGTGCTGTGTGAAGAGCAGAGTTCTTGCATGTGTTTGCACATACACACTTTAGAAACCCCAGCTCTTCACTGGTGCCCCTTTGGCACACACACTGATCCTGGAACATACGTGCACCCGCTTGGGTTTTTTTTAAATGCAAACTTTAATCTTCTTGCACAGATGATTATTTGACCTGGGACAGGAGAAACCTTCCCAGCTGGCTTCCTGCCTAGGTGTGTGAGTTAAAACTTCATTTGAAATCCAGTTTGCCAAGGTGAGACAGCTGAATAGTCAGGTGAGGATTTGATGATGTTTTAGGTACCACTGGCACAAGGTACTTCTACATCTTCATGTGCTGCCCTTTGGAATGTACTACACAGTTTTTGTGTGATGATGTGCTGGACCTCCTTTATATGGTTTAAAAAACAAAATTACTTTGTAATTCCTTTGAGTTATGCAGGATCAGTTTCCTCATTTCACTCATTGTACAGACCCACAAACAATTGTGTTGGCACAACTGGGGGAGCAGCATGCTGCATTGCCTGGGCAGGAATGAGTGGTAAAGACCAGGAGAAGAAAGCCTGAAAACATGTTGTCTGTGGCAATATCTTCAGCTAAACATATCACCAAACAATAGTCTCCCAAGAGACGGAAGCTCTCCTGAAGCTGGCCTGGTTATTTTAGGATTCTCTTTCAACATGAAGAAGCAAGGAATGTGCCCCCAGACACATACAAATGTGTGAAGAGCTGGGAGGACTAAGGCACGTAAGGCTTTGCACAGGGTGCATTTAGCACAGGTGCCAATTGCTAAGGTTACCTGTGTAAAGCAATGATCTCAACCTGTCAGATTCTAAAAGTGTGCCAAAGCTGTTGGTATCCTCTGAGTTACATGCATATGGGACTCTTCCAGCAGACAGCTATGGTGTTGTCAGCTCTTGGAGGGTTTTTTTTTTAATAAAGGGCATGCCTAGACACAAGTAAACCTGGGGCATTTCTCCTTCCAACATCACATCTGTTTCTTTCAAACTTTCACAATCCTGCTTTTTAAAATTCTAATTGAAATAACTATGGGCTTTATAGCTGCATCAGCAACCTTTTGTGAAAGAGTGCCAGTATGTAAACTTGTCAGAATTGATGAAACCAGTTGCTTTTTCTTAATAACTGCCTCCTATCTGTGTTCTCCAGATTTCCCAGAATCTGTCTTTTGGAGTATTTTCATTTCTTTATTGCCCCATTCAAGTACTTTCTACACATGAATTGGCTGACCTTTTTACATTTTGATTTGGAGGATTTTTCCAAGTTACGTTGGATGCACCCATCCTGCAAACTGTTACATACCTGTTTGCATACTGAATGACTAGTACTACTGTAAACCCTCTGCATTCAAAGCTGGATCTGTGGCCAAATTTTAACAAAATCAGGGCTAATGGAGCTGTTTGAAACCCCATGGAAATCCATGATTGTCTACAGGCAGCACTGGGCTTTGTTTTGAGGCCTGTGTAGACAGTCTGTGTAGGAGTCCTGAGGTTTGTGAATGCTGGCAAACGGCAGCATTTCAGAATATTCTGGTCTTAAGCCTCACTCTGCTCATTACTCACTATCTTTGTGTTTTTAAGTAGGCTGCATCTTACCCCACTAGGGAACTTTTGTCTGCTTACTCTGAAAATGGGGGTGTTTTGTTATGTGCTTATTTTGGTTTCTTTGCTTTGGAAGAAAGCTTTATTTCCCTGTCTCTTGCCCTCCTTTGTCTTTTTAAACGTGCGATCTTCATGGGACAGTAACTATTTCTTTAATCTTTTGTCTGCATTTAATTAGTTTCCATAATTCCTCCAAACAATTTTCTAACTTGATAGTAAAGTTTTTTATTAGACTACCACCATATTTTTCCTCTGCTAACAAAGGGTTTGATTGCTTGCTTTTCAGATGCTGAGTGAGAATCTAAGAGGAGAAATGACTGTTGTACCCACAGGAGCCAAGATCTCTCTGAGAGATAGCAAGTTTATACAAGTGATTGCCAAATCTCTAAGTATCAGCAGCAAGGAGGTATATACACTTAAATATTTAGAATTAATATCATGTAAAGCTGCAAACTCAGTTAAATGAACCTAGATTAAAGATGAACAGTAAAGCTGAAAGAAAAATAAAATACTGTAGGTTTTATATTATTTTTTTTAGTTCTGAGTGTCCCAGATAACCAATTGGGCTAGGGAGAAAGGACACAATGACACCAAAATGGTTTTAATTAAAAACATATTAACTTCCCCCCCCTCTTTGTAGCCCCATCTTGGATTTATTTTCTTGACTGGCTGGTTGCACTAACAAGCCTCAGACAGATGCTGTAATTCAGAGTATCAATGATATGAAGAAGTGCTTTGTATTTTTGTGGTCAAATGTATTGACAGTTTGGAGCAATCTAAATAATAATGGGTAAAACAACTTAATTGTACATGCAATCACAGAAGGCTAAGGAAGCATTACAAAAGTGTAGAGACACTTGTGATGTTTACTATTAGTCCTTCTCAACTGGAAAATTAGAAAAGATAATATCGGTTGTTCAGATGCTCGATTTTCTCTTGACTTGGTTTCAAGGAAGATGGGATTTATTAACTAATGTATGGTTCTTCTTTAGTGAACATGAGAAATGGGAGGATATTCAGGGGGCCTCGAGGGCTTATCAGGATACACAGGTGTCTGAGGAATCACATGAATAAAGTTGATCAGTCTTGAGGAGGCTGGACTATATGGTCTTTTCCAACTCCCACCAGTGCTGTTTCTCTTACTGTATTGATGAGTAGCTATGGCAGTAGAGAGATGGTAATAGTGTGTGCACCTTAAATGGTATATATAGATATCAGGTACCTGTAGTGTTGCCTGGGAGGAATATAAGTCTTATGGATGTGAGACTGACAAAATGTAAAATAAACATGAGACCTCTTTCCTTCCAAGAACTAAATGCTACCATTTTTAAATATCCAAGTGACTAATTTGGAAACTTTACATGAAAGCAAGGGTGGTGTTTTTATGACTTGGATATCAATCCCATTAGAGGCAAAGCTGATATTAAATGTTTAATTTTATTTGTTTCTCAGGAGTTAGAAGCCGTAAGAGATGCATTAATTCCACCTTTGGCTTGTGCTGCAGCTAAACTGGGTGACATAGACGCACTAAGAGCCATAGCAGAAATGGTAATGTAAAATTAACAGTTTGTACAAAACATTAATTTTTAAATAGAGCTGTAACTGATGGGAGGAAGCTATGCTCACTGGAATTGGTCTTACAATCAAGGTGCTTTGACTATTACAAGGTCTTTGCCTTTCAAGACTGGTATGTTCTTTCCCCTCTCTGTTTTTCAGCTGTTTATATTTTCTTTTGAACTGTGAAAATACAGGTAGATTAAAATGCAAGTTCTTATCTGCTAACTTTGGAACATTTTAAAATGGTTTGTGCTGCTTTCTTTTTGCTTAACTTTCTTTATACATATTCATAGTATCCAGCTTCTGGATGTAAATCTGTCATAATTAAAAAAAAAGAACTTGAAAACTATATTTAAGCAAAACACAGTGCAGTGTTAATTCAGGATTTCTGGCTCTCCCCATAAGTCTAACTTTGCTTATACCTGAAAAAAGAAACAGGCATTTCCCTGTCTTCTCATTTTTTTCCCCTCTTCGCCTTGGTTTACCCTACTCTTGAGACTTTGGTAATGGGCCTCAAGAAAGGATAAATATATCTTGAAATTAAGAATAAACTAAGACAAGTAAGATTAGCAGTCTACAGGCACAAAGCTGCTGTATGGCATGCCGAAATAAAGAGCATATCTGAGGGAGAAAACATGCAGAAGGTGAAATAAATATCCTTATTGGCACTGAAACAATCCTACAAGATTGACAAGCTTAACAATTTGGTGGCAGAATTAAAATGTGAAGTATGCACCTACTGTGTGACGTATGCAACAACTTAATGTGCAGCCATTATCTTTTTAGCATATGAAGGATATGTCCTTTTGTAGGGTGGAAACTTGAGCTGTGGAGACTATGATGGCCGAACTCCACTTCATATTGCAGCCTCTGAAGGGCATTTACCACTAGTTGAGTATTTGTTGATGTCTGGCGCGACTGTTTATGCTAGAGACAGATATGGATCTACCCCACTGATGAATGCGATCAAGTTCAGGTAACAATTTATATACTACTCTATGTAAAGTTTATAGACCTTTTATAATTTTAGATTTCAAGTCCATCCCTGCGTTTTGGTCTTGTTTTGTCTCAGCAGTCAAGTGTAAATTACAGCAGTTAACACATACCAGCTTTATTTCAAAGGATGTGACTAGCCTAAATGAAAAAAATTTAAAAAATAATATGAAATGAAAGCAAACAACTTGGTATGCATGCAGAATTTTAGCATAAAGTAACCTATTGCTGTCCTCCTGCCAAGACTTTGTCCATAATTTCAGGGCTCCACTCTTTATTCTGAGGCTTCCTTATAAAACACAGCCAAACTGATCACTCCTTTTGACTGTCAGAAGTGAGAGTGCAGGACCATGGGCTGTCTGTTTTCTTTCTGCCCTTCCCTTTCTCATCAAGACCAGACTGTTTCAATTGGCACAAAGTATACCGGTAGGTTGACATGTTTTAATCTTTCCCTTCCACCAGTGCTTTCCTGACTCTCCTGCTGGATGACTGGTTTTCTGATTTTTTCCCTTCCGCCCACTCATAATTATATGGGATGGCTGCATGGCCCTGCCTGCTTTGTGGATTTCCTCTTCCTGCTGTTATGAATGTCAGCAGTTCTGGAATGGTAGCCATGGATTTGCAATTTACTGGCCTCTTCCACGTTGTATAGTCCTAAGGAATGGCCATAGCACAGAGTCTAATAGTTATCAGTAATCAGAATTTAATTTTAAAACACTTAGTTTGTATAGCCTGGGGATTCACGGAGCCATTGGTCTCCTAACGTGTTAGAAGCTGCACAAAATAATCTCTCCCTGTTTCTTTGATCCACTTTCAGCTCCTTATCTCATATTCAGTTTGTATTGTAGCAGATGAGAAGCCATTTTTTTCTGTACAGGAGCTTGAAATGGTTGAATTTTCGTGGTCTTTGTGGATGACTGTCCCCAAATATTCCTACAGCTTTCTAATGTTGACAGGTTCACCTGGTTTGTCAAGCTGGAGTTAGCTCCCTGGGAGGTCTGACAGTGTGGGATTACCATTGGCTGCAGGAATAACTCGAAGGCTTCTTCTGTTTCAAAGACTAGATGTAGAAAACTCAACAAACTATTAATGTGGGAGTTGAAGTCCTGCATGGCCACGCTGTGCTATTGCCATACCTACTGCATGGTCCCTTATGGCTTTGTAGCTGTTGCTTTACCTCATGAATATATAAGCCCTTCATTGGAAAACCCTTAAAGTCTTAAAGTGAAAACAAGCCCAACAGCAAATCAAACAAATAACCTCGCAGCTGAACAGAGGTGGCTCTGGTCCAATGTGAGAAAATGCTAAAGCATTAGGTACTATTAGATGTTCCTGCAAATCAGGCACCTACTTTTTTTACCGCACCCATCTACCGCCTGAGGAATTTCACATGAGCTTGTTGTTTGGATTCCTTAGCATTGCCACTCCTATATTAGACTCCTACTATGACTCTTAAGCTCTTTAAAACTGCACACCCGTTTTGATACAGGGTATTGTAAAAGGAAACTGCACCATAACCATTTTCAGTTTCTCTTTTTGTTTCTATTGTTGGAATGAGAGGAAGAGTTGACTTAGAACTAATCTCATAAATGTGTATTTATGATCTGCTGTGTACTCACACTGCATTTCACACTGGTAAGCGTATAAAGGAGAATGCTAAAGAGCAAACAGCTGTATATGTGTGTAATTAGATACCCACTAAAAAGATTTCTGCTACAGAAATATTTAAATTCCATTTATTAAACAGTTGTAAGTTGAAAGTGAAGAGGTTATCCCGATGCAGCATACAAAGTGGCAGGGAGGGAAGGGGGAAAACTGATGTTAATGAGTAGTCAATGCTTTAAACTGTTTAATATTGTAACTTTCTCAATTTTACTGAATATTGCATCAGCTTAATCCCATTTTCTGAGAATTAATATTTGTTTAATTGGCATTTAACTGCAATACAGTATCCACTCGTCTTAAAAATAGCTTTCTTCGAGTCTTTTATGTTACATTTGTCAGTGGCTTGCCTTTTAACCAGCATGCAAACCTATATAAAGATGACTGATTTCTCTTTTCCACTTAATGATTTGTAATGATCAGGAGTTATGTGTCTTCTTAAAAGCTTCTTAACATAGCACTGTCAGCTGATAGACCAGCAACTTGATCTATGTCTATGACAGTCTCTTAAATTTTTTGACTTTAAGTGACTCTTTGTTTCTTTCTAAATAAGAAATAAACTACTGCATTCCCGCTTTTTCATTTGTAACTCTGCAATTTGCTTGTAGTTTTATTCACTTTAGGCATGAAGCTAAACAGACCACTGTTAATTTAGGCCAGTTGCTTGACATATCAAAATAAGTGGAATTCCTTTAATTTCTTACAGCACCCTCAAGGGATAATTCATTTTCAAAACAATAGAATAATATTTTTTTAATAACAGAAACTCTCTAAGCAGGAAAATGTCTTGAATAAAATTGTGTATATTTTGAGTAGTAAAAGCACTTCCATTTACTTGTAGAGCAGTGGTAAAAGGTTGAAAATGGGGAGTTGCTCATATAGTGCTGTGAGAACATCAGATGAGAGGCAGTAAAATTACCTCCCACGTAAATATGAATTTAAATACTTGATATTTTGCAAGGTTACATTTACATTACTTCAGGAAATCTAAGTGAAGAGTGAAAATCTAACCACCGCTGACTCCAGAAGTACACTGAAGCCTCTCCTTACAGTGTTTGAGCATAAAATTCCCACTGATACCATGTAGAAAAGTGAAATTAAGCTGCTCCTGCCATAACCATTCCGCTTGCTAGGGGAGCAAGCATGAAAAAGAATGAAGCCAGTCAAGTTTGGATATACATTACACCTGCATTTCTTTAAAGAGAGTTGGTGGAAGGTGTGCACCCTAAGGCCCCAATCCTACAAACTCTTACATGTGTGTTAATTTCACATGGATGATTCATCCCTTTTGAAGTCGATTCACTTCAGTTGGTGTCTGCCAAGTGAAGGCCTGAGATGATACGTATGGTGCAGAACCTTGATTGCTGTGAGTCCAGAGCCCTCATGAACTGGGAGGAGTTCAGATGTCTTTATCTGGAACTCAGATTTTGCTCCTAGCGCTGAGTGTTGAAGACTGCACCAAATCATACATTAAGATATTAGTATCCATTGGAGTTTTTATGCCCAGTGTTATCAATAATGGAACCTAGCAGAGAGGAGACACTAGAAATGCCTTTTCTCTATTTGGTTTTTTCCTTCAGAGAGGGATGAGTAACAGTGATATTACTATCAAAAGGCTAACTTAAGTAACATGTGCAGAATAGCATTGTTTCTATAGCTGTGTCTGACCATGCTTTGGTAATAGGGCAGTCTAAGAAAAGGGAGACTCAGGGACAGCGCACAGATGACAGTGCTTATCAGGTGGGGCTAAAGTGGGACATGCAGCCATGTACCAGCTCGTGATGTTGGCCTTCTCTCTACACCTTGACCTTTCATTGTCCAGCAGTTCCTCTGCTCTTGGTTTTGTGCTGTCACCTTAGAACAGGAATTGCATTTGAACCATTCCCAAGAAGTTCATGGCTCATGACATGACCTGAACTTCAGATCAGCTAAACTGTGACCCTTGTGAGGCTTTTGTAATGCCACAGGAGAGCAGCACTTAAAGAAACAATTTCTAAAGACAAATACCTCTCATGTGCCCAAGACATAACAGTATCAGAAAATTCACAGCCAGCCTCTTGAAATATGAATAATGCCCTTGTGGTAGGTACAAGACGGCAGAAGTGGTGCTCTGGTTAGGGCTTAAGTTCCTTCAGAATGTAGATAGCATTTGGGTGCAAGTAGGAACAAGCTGTAGTGCAGCTCACCTCCTGCATAGTTTTCATGTTGAGCGATGGGAATGTGAGAGGTGGTCTGTTTGTTTTCTTGGACAGATCTGCACTTCATAGTCACAGAACTAAATTTAACACTTTTAAGTTGTGCTTTACTATTTGTCCCTGTTCTTCCTCTCCCTTACCCTTTCTCTAACAAGCAGTAGCTCACAACACTTCCTCTTCTTCCCACTGTACCAAGAAACGTGATTTTGAATAACTCCCAGTCATTGGGACATTGTATTTCTATTTAGAAATGCTTTATTGTAAGCATTTATTGTTAGTTAACACTGTTAGTTTCAATGCTTAAAGATTTATTTTATTTCAAGCCACTTTTTTTTTTCCTCATTTAAGTTTGCTGAATTAAATAAGCAGGATAAATGCTCCCAAATCTGCCTGTACCAAAGATTTATAGAGTCCCCCTCAGAGTAGTAATGGCTGTGTGGCATAAGTGGGACTTGAAGTGCTTTATGGAGGGAATTTTGCTACCAATGAGGAGTAAATAGTTAGAACAGGAAGAGAAAACCTGGCTTTTTGCTGGAATCCAGAGATACAGAACCGCACAGGGGAAGCACACTGAGGGAGGATACCACACATTACATGCTTTGCTGCCTTTTATCTTTTAGTGCTGTCCCATAGCACAGCTTTGATTTTAAAAAGTGCTTGTTTCATGCTTCGATTTCTCGTATAAGGTGGGAAATGAGGAATACTTCAGGGCAGTTGTTGGAGAGTAAACAGACACTCCCCATGTTCAGTTCAGTACCCAGTGAGAGCTTGAGGGAACTGTTCTACTTTTAATCTATTTTAGGTCAAATTTCATTTCAGCTAATTACTGTTTTGCTTAAGACTAAGAATTAAAAAACTCGTACATGTAGAATTCGTTCTACACCACAGATTGAAAAATAGGAAACCATACCATTATTTGCTGGCTCAAGGAGGTGCTTGTGGATGACTAGCCACGTTGTAAGGGACCCACCTGAGAAAATATTTTAGATAACTGAACAAACTTGAAGCATGTGCTGTTCCAGCAATGCTTTGCTATGAGACAAAGGAAGATATTTTTTTTTTTGGCTGTCAATTGAAACAAAGCACAATTTTTAAAAAGTCGGTCTGCTAGGTTCAATAACCTGTGTTTGGAACACCAAAATGATTCTTAGAGCATTTGTACAGTTCTTTTATAAATCTTTAATTTATAAATCTTTAATTTATAAATTAAAGATTTTATGTGAAATGTACAAGCTTACATAGGCTTTATATGGATAACTGTAATGTAGCTTCTGACTGAAGATGGAGTTTCCTAAAAGGAGGCAAAGGGATTAGATAAGCAGTTTAATCCAGTTGAAATTAATGGAATAAAAAGGCCCATGGCTATCACCAAGAAAATGCAAGTAATTAAGCAGAAAGTGTATGTGAGCTTATTTTTTATTTTTAATTACTACAGATGAGCTTTTAGCTAATGGGTTGGAAAAGCTCATATATTTCCTATTAAATGATAAGCCTACCTCTTTGTTTTGAAGTATTATAGTATAGCAACTCACTTAAAATAGGAACTGTGAAACTATTCCTGATCTACTGGGTCATCATGCTCTTTCTGGAGAAAAAAACCTGTGCTTTGATTTATAAACTAGATCAGTTGTTTAGCAGAGGAGCACTCTGTCACCTCCTTTTCAAACCTAGCTCTAAACCTTTCACTAGGTTACTTATGAAAAACATATTTTTACACATTTTTGCATCTGTTATTTTCTACCCACAACAGTACTTTTGGAGAGCAGCCTTTCCCACAGTTTCTCAAACATCTTACTAAGGTATAGGTGTTGGCTATTTGTCCCTTTATTTCAAAGGAAAGGACAATGAAGACCTCCTAAAATCTCCAGGTAGAAATAAATAATAAAGGCATTGGGAAGAGGAGGTTAGGAACAGGTGTGCTTTTGATGGCAGTTCATAAGAATACTTACCATCATTTTGAAGCCCTAAAAACCTGATTAGCTTCCCCGTTAACCTAAAGATTCACTGCTTATCTGCAAGAAACATCTTTTATTTAAGATTGATATATATGACCATTGCATTCTTTAAAATACAGGAACAATGCTATGTAATAAGTAATCTCACTGTTTGCATGTATTTCAATCACTAATATTTCTGCTGTTAAATTAAGCTAGCACTAAGGTAAAGATACTAAGAATTCTTGGAAGAGGAGAGTATGCATCCATTTCCTTTTCAGAGCTGAACTTAACACTTCCTTGAGCTTTGTATATGAATGAATTTTTAAAAGGGAGGGCAGCTCTGTTTACTACATCTGTCACCTTGGAGAAGATTCATTGATTCTGTGATTGTGGGAAATCTGATATAAGAACTTTCATGGACTCTTTGTGTATATGACAATGCTGGATTTAGGGGAAAAAACCTACAGGTCAAGACACTCTCCGTTTTTTCTATTCCTCTCATAAAGGCACATACAAGTGATTAATTTGTTACGGGAAACGGGAGCGCACCTTTCCAGCCAGGACTTGGAGAATACTGGAACAATACTCTGCAGGTAAATGTGATACAAGGTGAGGTGGCCCTAAAATTGGGATGGAGGGGGATGGTTTTTCAGAAAAGACTCCAGAATGAAGAACTTTGGAGAAGCACTTGGGTCCCTGGCACATGAGGTGGCTATTTCGGTGCTAGACAAATAATAAGGAAACAAGTGAAGTGATGAAATTAAGAATCAGCTCTATGTCAAAGCACCAGTAACTCAAGAGACCTCCAAAGTAGACGGTATTGTGGAGATCAGTGATCTGGAAGCACATACACCCCATTTTTTTCCAAGGTGTTTTACTTAGGAAGGGTGAGAAAGAAGCTGTTCAAGGTGTGACTTAATAACATCTCTATTTAAAAATAAAGCTGCGCATTGTGTGTCATTTTTATTGTCTTAAAATCCACTGTTCAGTTATATGGAAGTGGCTTCTATTCTAATTAGTATATAATAATGTTCTTAAAAATAACTAAATCAAATGGACAGATAGATTTAGCCCCAAAACTTGTGAACAACTGCTCAGTGTCACTATATTTAATTTTAGGAGGATATAATTCTCTGTTAAAGTTGCTTTTAATATATAACAATGTGGATATGTATTATGAAACCAAATAGATATTAGATTTAATTTTTTCCAGTACTTGTCCTGAATTACAAATTACTCTGAAAATCATGAGAAACTTTCATGTATTTCCTAAAATACAGTTTTTACTTCATTTCTTCTTTCTATTTTTGAAAAACAAACAAAAAGCCACCTAAGTACTGGCCTTTGAATCAGGACTTGGCAGGAAACCATGAAATTTGCAGGGACCAGCCAGTGCTGTATAATGTCTACAAAACAAGGTCAAAGTGAAACTTATGTGCATTCTGTGTAGAGACTGGACTCTATCCTTTGAGTAATTCTAGAATTAAGAAACACTAGCTGGAGTGTTTCCATTGTCATAACATGCTCAGAGGAGACTGGGTAATAGGGCTTTTACTAGGAAGTTAAAATATGCACTTCCCAGGGCACTGCAAGTGATAGGACAGAACTAAACCCTTGGTTTGTGTAGTTTCCATCTGCCAAAAGGTGAGAGGAGTGGTTTAGGGAATGACATTCCTCTGCAAATAAATTGGCCCCTTACTTAGCCCTGGTGCCACATGCAGAACCAGTTTGGCTAGCTGACCTGTCAGTAATATATCCCAAAAGAAAAAAAAAAAGGAAAGAGAAAGAGGATGTTTTAAACAAAATGTGGTTCTGATGCAGTTTGTTACAGCTTTTTAGGGAACATTGTACACCTGCATCTGTATTGCACAATCTCCTGTTGTTCAAAGCTGACATTTTGATAATCAACACTTCAGATATTTTTGAACTTACATTGGTGTTTGTAATTTTAGTATAAAACAATGCAAATCTTCCAAACAGGGGGTGGGAGTGCACATGTGCAGAGGCTGACTGAGGACTCAGCACAGAGTGCCGTGCTCGGGACGAGAGGGGAAGAGGCTCTCACACATTGGTGTGGGTCAGGAACTGGGGCTGTGGCTCTCTCCCGCTTGGCAGCTGGAGTGGTGGCCGTGGCCAGAGGTGTGTCCATGGACAGGCATCACCACGTGGCCTGTACCAGGAGCACAGCCAGGCAGTGGTCAGGCTTAGAGACAGTCTGTGAACAGTGTCTCTTCCCTGCACTGCTTCTGCAGAGCTTAAGTGCTTCCTTTGCTCTTGCTGTTTTAGAGGGCCTGGCACAGTCACTTCCACCAAAGTGGACTTTTTCCACAGAGCGTTATTTAGATGCCTAAAAGTTATTAAATCTGAGGTACTGGTGTTTGTCCTCTTGACAAAATGTCTCTGGTACTCCTTCTACAGTATCCTCAGATGACCCTACTGATACGCTCATTTCTCCAGCATGCTTGGGCTCACTTCTCTCTCCTACTTCTTACCTCCTCCTTTTACGCCCTTTCTTTGCAGGCACTGGCACCTTCATGGCAGTCAACATGTTCACCTGGTCAAGCTAGTTAAAGAAAAAGCTATTTATAACATCTTCCCTTTGTCTGATTTGAACTATTTTTCTACATCTCATCTGTCTTGTAATGTGCCTTAAGCTGCATTTTTACCAACCTGAATTTGTCACCAAGGCAGGATTTCAACTTCTTGGGGCTTAGGAGGAAAAAGCTGCTTGTTCTCTGATAAGCTCTTGGTTCCTACACTTAGCTAACTTAACTTTTTCTCCTTACAGTTCTGTCTGAAGCAGAAACTATAAACATGTTTTTCCCCTTTGCTACTTAGCAATCCTTGAACAAACTGACTTTCACAAAAGACCATGAACAGTGATTTTTGTGTTCTAATACCGTCTCCTCAGCTCTCTTCTGTTTAGACTCATGATTTTATAATAGAATAGAATAGTTCAGTTGGAAGATTATGAAGATAAAAATAAATGTGTTCCTTTGCCATTGGCGATGTTTGAGAGGGAAAGGAGTACCAGCCAGAACTGAGAGTTGGACAGTATCAGTGGGAACTCTTGTGTAGGAAGTGGAGATGTACATAGATGCAGCCAATATGATCTAGTTATTAAATCTTCCATGGTTTCATTTGCTGGCGTCTTTTTTTAAGTGAGAGGTGGTAGTCTGGCTTTGGAATCACTTTGTTGATGTTTGGTATCTGGTTCATGGCTTTGTTTTGAAATGAGATCTCAATGTTAGTAATCTGTTAAAAATGTCAGAATATCTTCTCATATTGCAGTAGTATTGTCATCTGTCTGCAAACCCAAACCATGATGACATAAATTGGAACACTCAGGCTTATTCTGAAAGCTTGTGGAGTTCTGGAGTTGGTAAACAGTTGATTTGTGTTTGGTTTTTTAAAGGAAAAAATTTGTATAGAATTGAGATACTCTGTTTAAGTCTGTAGTTTACAAAATTAAACAAGGGCATAAAGCCAAACCAGCTTTTTCTTTCATGTTCTCAGATTTCATAAAATGATATTATATACAAGGATGCAGCCTTTCAAAATCAGCACCTTTCAGAATAAGATACTTCTTCAATTTGACATGGACTTGAGGGGTAAGGCTGGAGAAGGAAGGATAAATATGTCTCGGCAGGAATTAGGACCAAGCTTCCTGCCTGCTGTCTTTCAAAGAAGTCTGTCTGTCTCAGCTGAGATAGATGTGGAGACACTAGCTAAGAGCAGCACTCACAAATTAGTTCAGGATGCAAGACACTCTTTGCACTGGACTTTTAACTTCTTTTTTGAGGATTTTCGTCTTAAAAAAAAAAAAAAAAAAGAAGTAGATCAAAGATTCTCTCTTCTGCCAGGGTGATGATACACCTGAAAAAAAGGAAGTCTTTCCTGATCACTTTGTATAGACACCGAAAAAGGAGAATTGCTAACATTGCTGAAAAAGCACAGCTTTGTGTCCCTGGGAAAGATGAAATCCTGGTACCTGAGGAGGCAGGAGGGAACCCCAAGGTGTCATTTCACAGTATTTATTACTTCCCAAATCTAGAACTGCATTGGCCCTTGTCCTTATAAACCCTCTGAGACCTGACCAGCTTCACTCCTGGTACCTTGGCAGTAGCAGAGCACGTGTTAAACTGCAGCTTGATGCTGGTGGGGTGTGAGACACAGAATCAGAGAGCATAATTGCACTGTCACTGTTCTTGATATCTTAGCTCTGTCATCATCATGGCTACATTAGCTCTACTGAAATTGTGAAATGGATACATAATAATTTCTTTTCTGACTGCAGGAGTATTGATAAGGCAGCGTGCCTAGGATTATCTGCTGTAAAAAGTATCAGTCAGAGTTTAGTAAAATGTGTTAGGTAGTTCTTTATCACTAAGCAGGTTTTAAACATCCTGGTAAGTGTATATTGAAGCTATCTTTAGTCCATTTCATGATATAAAAGTGATGGACTTGCTGCTTAGAGGTTGCATTTGTAGTTGGAATGGTGCCTATAGTGTAAATTGAGAAGTCCTCTGTATATATTTGAGTATATGAAGTACATTTACACTGTGTAAAGGAAGTACAGATGTGTATGCCTCAACTATGGAAATCTGGAACTGGAGAAAATGTTTTGTGGTGATTATCAATTTGGTAAATAGTAGGTATCTTCTATTTAGAGCAGTATCTAAATTTTCTCACAAGCTACATCACCTTATGTTCTCTGGGTCACGTAGAATACAGTTCTCACTTGATCAGTAAATGGCTGCTGCAAAATTGAAGATACTTCTGTGTATTTGGAGTGCTCTAATGTCATGGAAGGAGACCACTTCACAGGTTTGACCTCTGGCAGTGGGGGTTAAGTTGCTCTTTCTGAACAGGTGCTATTAGGCAGTTAATTTTCAAGTGAGTGCAGCAGTCCTTGTTTGTTGCTTACACTGGTGCTAGCTGAATTGCCCTCGATATGTAGATTGGTAATATTTCTGAAAGTGCTGGTCTTTGCCCAAAGTGGTTTTCACTTTGCATGTGACTGAATGATGAGATTCTGTTTGGCAAATACAGGGCTTTTCTGTCCAGTGTTGGTGATGCTTGTAACTCTCTAGATAGGCTCTTTGTTTTTTGTTAGTTCCTTAATCTGTGACCTTACAGTGTTAACAGCAAGAGACTAGTTTTTGTAACTAAGATAATTCAGGTGCTCCAGAAGTGGCTGCTAAGCAATTTCTTTGCTTTACTAATGCTTACACTTTTTCTTTATTAATACTCATTTCTTTCCTGCAGTTTCCTTACTGACCTCCCACTGAGCTTCCTGTTGGACCTCCTTTGCCTTCCCCTGTTTCCTTATTGCTTCTGAGGCCCCATTTTTGTGATGGCAGTTTGCATTAATTATTTAATGATCCTTTCCTTCATGATGGCAGACTGAAGCACTGTTAACCTCTTAATACCCGACTACCATTTCCCTGTCCCCCAAAGGCTCCAGTTGTAGGTCATCTGGGGGGTTGCATAGAGGAACACAGAGACTATTTGCTTTCTCTTTTTGTGCCCAGCCTCTGGGACTGCTGCAAGCAAAAACCTCTCTCTGACTTTCTCCTCAGACTGCTGCAATTAGAGGCTTCCACTCCCCTGAAAACATATTTCCAGGTACTTAAGAGATTTAATCAACAAGAGAAGTGATTTCAACCTAGCAGAGAAGTGAATGTTGCAGCCCTGCTTTCATGGTTTTTTCCATGAGTTTACCTGACTGTCTGCCCCTTGCATCTTTGAGCCGTCTCCACTCTTCACCAGCTCTGCCTGGCTTGGTTATTATATTCAAGAGCCCATCACCACCTCCATGCCTGATGCCAGCACAATGCCTTTCAACCCCAGCGAGCACTGTTTAAGGCAGCAAACTCTGAACTTAATAAGGGTAGGGAGGGCTCCCCCTCTCTTAATGAGATTCAACCTCACTTGATGATTATCAGCATGGTTCTGCTGAAACAATCTGCAAGCTCACAGCAGAGGTGAGGTCTGAAGCCTCACAGATGCTGCTATCCTGAGGAGACTGAAGGTTGCCCTCCCAGCCTTCCCATCAGTTCAGGCTGTCTGCAGGCTTGGTACAGACTGTCATGCTTTTGCATATGTACAGGCCTTTTACCAAAATGAAAGTTAAAAATGAACCTTAAGTATTATGGATTAGTCTACCAGGAGATGTGCGAAGAAATAACCTGGTGTATATTCCTCTGAAAACTTTAACTTGCTTATTTTTTGATCCTTTCTGTTGCTTGTTACATGTGGAAGATAGAGGTCATCCTTAAAATGCCTTTTTTTTTGCTTGCTGCCCATTTAAACCTTAAAAATTGTCTTGTAAAATTCAAAACATATAGCTGTGTTACTGTCCAGATGATATCACATAAATGTGCTGTCATAACTTCTGATAGCAAACGTAGTTATGCAAACTTGTGAAGGGGGTTTTTTAGTGGTTTTAAGTAAGTCCTGTGGATTAGTGGCCCATCTGCTTGTGTTCTCACTTACTCAGCTGTATCTTGATTTAGCTGTTGCCCTCCCCCCAACTCATTTCATGAGATAAATATTGTGTTGTGAAATATGAAACTGCATGACTTTTTTTTCCCCTTTGGTCATAGTCACACCCACTATGTGAAACTAGCCTGTTGTAAGTACTTATAGCACAGCCCTATTAATTTAAGGAACTGATTCATCAAGCTGTGTTGCTTGCTCAGCTATTCAAAACTGTTGTAATAGTGTTCCTTACCTCTCTACCCTGGCAGCCATGTTGAGCCTGTTCTGGTTCAGCATTTGCCTGCTGAGCTAATTGACAGGATCCAGGAGCTCACTGAAATGGAAAGATTTAGAACCAATATTAATTATTCTTTTTCCAGCCTTGCAGCTACAGGCGATGTGGATGGGTTGTATGCCTGGTACCTAGCTGGTGCAGACCTGGAGCAAACTGGTTATGATGGCAGGAATCCCTTACAAGTAGTAAGTTGTGCTGTACTCCGTATGGCGTGCTAGCTGAGTGAGTAATAACGTGCACTGTCGGATAATATTCATTTAGGAAAAGTAAATGTTGCTTTGTGGATTATAAACTGGATTAGAATTTGTTACAAACTCAAATCTGGTGCTCTTGTGAAGCAATAAATAGTTGGAGCCAGAATTTTTCTCATCAATGTCAGAGGAATTAAAATTTAAATTGGATTTTAATTATCTTGTGGTAACATACTCTTACTTCCCACAAGTAAGTATTTGCATGTCCTGGTGCACAGGATGGCAAGACTTAATTCACATCTCTACTTACAGGCAGAGGCTACAGGACAGAAGGAGGTTCTTGACTTCCTTAGACAAAAGCACTGAAGAAGGTAAGATCTAGTTCTCAAGTACTGGAGTTCTGGAATGTACAGCTCAACATACACACATATGAAGAGGGATTTTGTCTAGTTCACCCTGGGACATCTTGGTTCAGCTGCAGTCCCTGTCTTGGTTTCTGATAGGACTCTGGGTACTTTAGTCCTTCCTTGTAGAGTGGGGCTAATGTTTATTCCTCTTCCTGCCTGAACCTGGAATTGTGTTTTTGTGCATTCCACAGTGTGGTTCTAAACTTGGTTGGGAATGTAAAAACTACCAAATAAAACCCCTGAGGGCAACAATGTGTTGTCCCTTTGGCCTGTTGCAATAAATTGCCCCTCTGTCTTGCTTGCACTACAGAGGAAATGCCTTTTGCCAGACACGATGCCAGGCCTGGATCTCTGCTGTGCCCCCAGTGCAGGAGCGTTCCCTTCCCCAGTACAGCTGCAAGGAAATCACAGCTCTGAGTGCAGGATAGGGCAGTGCCATGGTCTCCCTCTTGCTCAGACCTTGGATGCAGCTGCCTGGTTGTCCCTGACATGGACTCGCTGCATGGAATCTCTTTTGTGCTGCCGTCATCCAAGGTGTGTTTCCCTGGACGTGTCCATGTGAGGCAGGTGTGTGCCTTGTGTTCAGAGCATCAGATCTGACAAATATCTCTAAGGGACCTTGTTTGGGTATTTGACCTTCTCCAGTGCTGTGCCATAACTGGAAGCATTTAAAACACTCGCCTTCCATTTCTCAGAGCTCCTTTCTGATGCAATACATTTTTGATTTAGATATCTCTTCTCCAATATATTGGCAAGTCTAGTCCAAATTTAAGTATTGGGATGTGTTAAGACAAAATGTAGTTAAAGGTTTTGCTGTGTGAGTGGCTATCTGGCCAATCTTGTGTCCCCCTTGAGAGATGTTAGTGGGGACTGCACTTGGAACAACAGCATTTTTGATTCACTGTGTACTGGGCTACATGAACATGGGACACAGTTTTTTTGCTTTGCTTTGAAGTTCTGGTGTTTTCTTTGGTTTCAGCTGATATAGAGGAATTAGATATAATCACAGTCTCAAGTCTTCCAGTGTTCAGGATGACGATGCCAAAGATACCTTCAGAATATGAGTTATATTGCAAAGGGACTTCCATTTTCAGTGGAATAGGTCTGCAAAAATTACTTTTCTTTTGTAAGTGGGGAGCGAATGTGTTAAATCCTCAACTCTTTCATGGATCACCTCATAATTCCTTTGGACTGAGCCACTAGTAGTGTAGGCGGACTGAAGGAAGTCTTCAGTACCGCATGAGAACTGGCTTGGCAGGCTACAAGGTAATCTGTTCTCAGGAAGGTTCTGGATACTGCCTAATTCTAAACATCCATTTTCTCTTTCTCCAGAGGCTGCAGAAGATGTTCAGTCATCATCAGAAATACCGACTTGAACCATTCATGGTGTTAAGTCCTAATGGGAGAAAAAGAGGAAAGGAACAATGGTAGCTGTGCTTGGGGCATACAGACAAGCTAGAGCTTAGAATGGTTCTTTATTTAGAATCACATTGTTTTGCTAAAAATTATTTGCTGCTTTATCTTTTAATCACTTTTTTTGAAAAGAAATTCTTTTAAACAAGTGACGCTGGAATACATTGTCATTCCTGTACAAATTCTGTTTTTAAAGAGACCTTTTGAATATTCTTATGTTAGCTCACTAACAGCATTGCAGGCATAGCAAATGGAAATGCTGTGGTGATTTCATACCAAGGAAAAACAGTGGATTGTGCATTTCTGGGTTACAACTAATAAAATCTCTGAGGAACAATGTTGATTTCACTTGGTCTGGTTTTTTGCAACGACTTGTATCACTTCAGTTGCAATTACAGCAATTGTGAGTGTCAGTGCAAACAATTGAATCAGTCATGGGCATCTGCCTGCAGTTGTGTACTAATCTTCACCAATGTGTCACTATAAAACCTCACTTGAAATGAGTAGGAGGCAGATGCCATAAAGCATGTTTGTGGGACTGCCTAAGTGAATTGATTGTTTTATTTCTAATAGCATCTTTCCCACATCCTGACCGGAATATAATCAAGATTGCTACATGCTGGACACAAAATTCTTTGGGCTGTAAATGGGATCTCAGTATTAACAGACCCCAAGTTTAAAGTCTGAACACTTTCAAACTAAAGAAAGAAAGCAATACATATCTTCACAGCTGTGTCTGCCGTAGAATATGTAAACATAGAGAATAATTCAGTCAAATGCATATACTGGAGATGGCAACTTTTAATTTCACCTACAGCTTCTGCAGTAATCTATGGGGATTTTCTATCTGCTTCATCTGAAGGGAATCTTTGAAGTGCAGATAGTTTTTTCTTTTTCCTCTTTATACTATTCAATCTTCCCACAGATATTCTTATCATAGAGAAAAGCTGCATGGACTACTTGCTCAGCCTGTTAGTATTAAAAGATTCCCAAGGTATGTTGCATGTTAGATCCCACTAAAACAAGGTAACTGTGCATGTAGTCTAAGAAAATGCTGTATACACTCCAGTTAAAAACAAAACCAAACCATAAAAATGCTTGATTAATATGAAGAGTAGTGCACCTCTTCACTACAGTCACAAAAATTACAACTATGCTGTCTCATTATTAAATAGCTGATATTACATTGCAATAAACATGCTTTAGGTTGAATAAAATGAATACAGAATAAAGTAAATGAGATCTAACATCCAAAATCAGGCATCACATTTATTATCTTTCTGGTGTCTTATCTGTAAGTACATAAAGGTGATGTATGTAGCAAAGTAATGTGTGTGAAAATTTTTACCATCAGGAGTAAAATCATGCATAGACTCTTCTTCCTATGGTATTCAGACCTATTATCTTAGCTCTTGCCTTGTCAGCAGTCTAAATGTTGATGCACTGAACTATCAAGTCAATCCCTTGATAGACTTCTCTGCAAGTGACTTTCTTGGCACTGGAATATTTTCTATTTTTCAGTGACTCTCAGATGCAATCATTTGTCTATAACAGCATCCATTCTTTATTTCTGTACCAAAATGGCTGACTGCAACATATACAGAAGTGTCGATATTCTCCTCATACTTTTCAATAAAAGGTCATCTGATCTATAGAAAACTTTCTAAACAATAACTTCTTATATTTCTAAAATACAATATCCATCTAAAGTACAAAACATACTTTTTCTTTTGAACAAAAAATGACATTCTGGTGCGAATTACTGAAACTACAGGTCTCAACAGTAAAACTGCAGGAGAGGTAAGAAAATGGCCAATCGTTTTGGTCCTGCGTATAAGCCAGGTAAAGACACAAAAGACATTTCCAGATGTGATCCAGTAAGACTTTTATTTAAAAGCTCATAAAGCCAAAAGGAAATTGTTTGGGTCATGTTTACTGTAAGGATAAAGCAGTATTAGCTTCTTTCTGGCACAGCTTTACAGAAACATATATCCTATTAATATGTCATCTTGCCTAAGATAACGTTCCTGCAATCTTCTGGAAAATTTGTGATTTGTGTTATAAATAGACCAATGTGTTTTAATGGCAGACATATGAAGGTAAATTTAATGTTTATCTGAGGGAGAACTGGATCTCTTTTATATATGTCAAAATTTCATTCAAGAACTGTGAACAGTCTGCAAGTGTTAAGAGAAACTGTGTCTAGAGTGCTGTGATTTAAAAAGTGGCAAGAATCACCCACCCAAGACCAGAAATTTCAGCTCTTGATTTGGGGTTGGGGATGAACTTCAGTAACACTTTGGAGATCCTGTTTTTGTCTTGTTCATCTACAACACCCTTTGCTTCATGCAGTGGATTTAATAATCATAATTATACTTCCTGTGATAACTCCCAGTCTTATGATGAATCTATTTGTGTGTAGTAACCCTTAAGCTTTGCATAGTTATTGCTCAAAAGTAAAATCTTAATATTAGTAAGGGATGAAAATTGTTCCTATTTGTTTCTACCTATTTCAGTTGCTGCAAGCAGCAGTGTGTCTTTCATTAGTTAAAAGTATGCTAGACATTCCAGAGGCAGCTTAATTTTTTTAAACATCCTAATTTTTCTCCTTCAGATCATTCTTAAAAAGATCTAATACACCTCTTTTTATCCAGCAATCTTCTGCTCAGTAAAGGGTTGTAGATTAAGGAGCTGTACAGGGCCAATACTAATGCAAACACCCTCATTCCATTGCCAGGACTAACTGTGGGTCGGTTTCACAACTTCTCAAACAGCTTTAACTCCAGTCACCCATGAGGTCCATGCACCCTTCCATGTCTACATCCAAGTGCAGTTTGGGAGATCTAGCACATACTGTGAGGATCATCTGCAGATCTGTGCTTGGTATTTCAGACACAGTACCCATCGGAATGGCACGGTGGATAAAGTTACTTTTGCATTTATTTTTTTTTTTTGGTGCAGAAAGGCTTGTGATATTTTTTAGTCTCAGTACTTAATTGGAACGTAAAGATGGCATTTTAATTTCTGCTAGGACACGGCAGTGGCTCCCATTCTCTTCCAGTCTCAGTGTAGTACTGCAAGTGATGGGGCTGTAGTTTTCCTTGCACTGCAGAATCACCACCAGGTGAAATGCCATGCCAGGGAAGTGCACAAGCTCCAGAGACAGCCTGCACCTGTGCGAGCCTCAGAGAGACTCCAGCGGGTCTGGGACCATCCTGTTGCCTGCAATTTCAGCAGTGACTATAGAACAGCATAAAGGCATAATCAATAATGTGGGACTCGTAACTGCTGCACCAACGTTGGATTTATTTCCAGTGTTGAATCTTTTAAGTTGCAGTGATGTTCTGGGAATGAATGCTGGTACTGGAACATCTGCTGCCTCTCCACAGAGGAGACAGTATGAATGCCTCCTCTAAAAGTCAAACATTACATCAATTCTACAGCTTTCTTCACTTGAAAGACAACACCCAGCTTCCACTTTGTTTCTTTTTCCTAATGATCCAGCTAATACTGCCAAGGGATAGGAACTACTTGGCCTATGTCAGCACTTCTCTAACGCTGCAGAAGGCAGAGATTTGCACAACTAACATGTCCAAGTTCCTGTCTGATTTGAGCTACAGCTTTCCTTTCCTGAATGCAACCACTTTCTTTTTTTACTGATGGCTGAAAATATTAAGTTTCTGTTTGGAGATCTCTTATAAAGCTTTTGTCATGGAAGGGCATTCTTAATTATTTAAAAAATCAGCATGTGCTCACTCTCTTATTCCATGTCCTCATGGTAAACTGTTAACATCTGACAAGGCTGGCTGACACCCTGACAGATTGATCTGTGTCTGATCGGTACTTGCTGAATTAAATCAGCTGTTCAGCAAAGCTTCAGTATCTGCTCCTTCTTCTTAAACTGCTAAATAACTCCAGTTCTGCACATCTTAACTTAGAATTACTGTAGCATGTCTCAGTTGTCTCATACAAGGATTTTGCTGTTCAGCAGTGAGTGATAATGAAATCTCTCATCTGGAACTAAACCCCTCCTTGAATCAGAGTTTCTTTATTTGCAGTCTTCTGAATGGTGTGATCTACTGGTATGCTTCCAAAAAGATTATGATCTGGTTGGAAGATTTCTCCATTTTTAAGGCTTGTTCAAGTAGTGAGATGAGTCAAGGAGGGAAATGTATCCCTTGGTCATAGACAACAAAGTGTGCCTAGTTCCATTTACACACAAAGCATAAATGGATCTAGAGCATGATCAAATGCAGCCACAGGTGTAATCCACTTGTCCAGGCACCTATGCTGATCCCTGCATAGGACGTATTACAGCAATTAAGAAACAAAATGCTTTTAGTTTCCAGCAATACAATTTGTTATTCACTGAGATAAACCTGAAGTAATTGTATGATGGGTGAAAACAAGAAATTTATAAAGAACTGATCAAATGTGCCCAGCATATGTTATCACAAGCATTGCTGATATGTTTGTGTCTCTTCCAAGTGGACTCTATCAGCAGTATAATCATCTTCTAGACTAGTAAGACTAGTCTTCCCATGATTCTTTAACAGTGTTTTATGACACAGTCGTGTTTGATTGCATGGTTGTACCAACACTTTAATTTTAGTGACTCTTTTAGAAAAGCTACTAATGTAGAAGGCTTATAAGGTATGTAAAGTACTCTACTGAGCCATACAAATGAATCTGTGGGACTCGAATGTTGCCATCTTAGATAGTCTATGAGTCAGAATAAAATCTGGTACTACCAGATTTATTATTTTGCAAAGTGTCTACCTGGAAATTACTTTAGAAACTTAATTATACATACATTTGTTTACCTCTGATCAGCTGAATGGGAAGAGGCAGAAGCCTACATCTCAAAAGTGTAGCTGAGGCAAGTATCCCGAATCATGGCAAAAAAATGAAATGTCTGGTGTGGAGCACACAAAACAGCACTACTTAACGTGGCTCTGTTTGGAAGAGTTGATACAAATCTCACGGTCAAAGGATTTGGTCCTTGATGTCCAAATCTATGTTGTTGTCTGACCACAACTGCTGCTGATGTACCAGGAGGATATAACAACTGGGGCCCATGCTCCTCGCAGGCTCTGCAGGCAGGGCAGGGGCAGTGCCCCTCTCCCCCTCACCCAGCCCCGCCAAGGCTCTCCTGTTGGGACACGCTCAGCCACTGCATATCTTCTGCACTCCCACTGGCGTTTTGAGCTTCACACCGGCACCTCCCTCCCACTCCAGGATGCTGCACATCAGAGAGAGACGTCAGCCAAATCCATGGGAAGGCGCCAACCAACAATATCCTGCAGCTTCGCTCTGCAGCCTCCTCTGCGCACAGGC